CTTGGAGAAATTAGAGAGAAAAGATGGAGGGGAAGTGATTTCTTTAAAAATAAAAACCAAATCATCTAATATGTTCCCAGTTATACCAGATGGGGCCTGCTCCTCTGTGTACTTTATTAGGGTAAACCAGGAGAGATGGGACTGAAGGCAAGAGTAGTTCACACTGTTAAAGGAGTCTCAGGTCAGTAATTTATTAAGTGGTCAGTGTTTCTAATTACCCTCTCAACCTTGCAGCTTTTCAGCATTCAGACTTAGTTCTGAATTTTACATGGAGTTGCAGTTTTGTAAATTGTGTGCATCTGACTGTCCTGGACCAAAAGAGCCCTGACTTCCAAAAATATTTGAAAATCAGCCTGAAATTTGAAAATTAGATTTGCAAATGCAAATTAGATGCCTTTTGCTCTTTTCATACACTACATAAGCTGCTGTGTTTAAAATTATATTACTCCAGTGGTCTTGAGCAGAAGGGGCTAAAAAGGACATTTCATAGTCTGAAAGCGATGCCCTTCCTTGGTTTTGGGGACACAGATAAAGCAGCCAGCTCTATCAGAGTGCAGCTTCCCTGAGTGTCACAGACAAAAGCAGCTTAGCCAGGTCCCCCTGCTCTATCAGCTTTACCCAGTGCACTGTAAAATTACCTGAGCTCCACTCTTGTGACATGGACAAAATTGAGTTTATTTACAGCCAAATGCCATTTTTTAGCAGAAATTGCATTTGTTGACCTGGTATTTAGCTACCAGGTTGGACAAATGGCAGTGATGATGATTTTGAAGTTTCTGAGTCCATCACCTAAAACTAAAACTTACTGACTTAATTATCAGGACTTAAGCATGTCACCCACATAGGTACTTCCCTAAGGCTTACTCAGATCCTGAAGAGTTGCAATGCTTTTCTAAATCTGTTTGTGGATCTCTTTTGGAGTGACATTTAGGCTGCCATGTCACCTGGCATTTCTGAAATCCACACTGCTGGTGGCTTGTTAGCTCTGAGGGAGAAAATTATGTGGCTATCTCAGACCCTAAAGAAAGAAGGGAATTTGGGAAGGGAATTGATTCCCTAACCTGGGAATTTGGAGCCTGTTTCTCTCAGCACTGTGGGTAACTTGTTAGTTGACCTCCAGATGTGCAGTTCCCAGCCCTGTGTGTGATGCTGAATGCAGTGAGCTGTTACAAAGCCCATCAGTAATTTCTGCAGGATAATTACAGAAACACAAGCCATGTAAAGATGGAAATCATGGTGCAGATGTGTATCAAAGCAGGGCTGTCTTTCAGGTGGCCCAGAGGGAAATGCACCCCCTGCTCTAAGGCTGTGAGCATGGGGCTGAGTTTAATTGCTTTTTTTGGGATTATAGTGAGAGCTGTGACAGCTCTGGCTGTTGCCAGTGGGTTTGGACTGTGAGTGACAGACGTTCATTGAGGGCTTTTGCAGTGCTCCACTCATTACCCCTGAGCTGTAATCCATCATGTTGGAGACTGTGACCCTTGGAGTGAGCAGCTGTGCTGCCCGTGCCACGTTAATTTGTTGAATGTTTTGTGGCACGGTTTTTCACTTTGCTCTGAGGGACTCTTCTGAACCCTTGTTGTTTGTCAGTCCAGGTCACTTGGCTGCTCCTCAGCAGCCTGAGGGTGTTTGCATTGCCCTCTCAGGGCTTGTGAACCCCAGGACAGGGGCATTCCTCTGGTGTAAATTACAGAATCACAGAATCATTGCCTCATTTAGTTTGGAAAACACCTCCAAGATCGAATCCAACCATTAACCCAGCACTGCCAAGCCCACCACTAAACCATGTCCCCAAATGCCACATCTGCGCAACTTTTAAATCCCTCCAGGGATGGTGACTCCAGCACTTCCCTGGGCAGCCTGTGCCAGTGCTTGGCAGCCCATTCAATGCAGAAATTTTTCCTAATATCCAGAGCAAACTTCTGTGTGGTCAGCCAGGCTGCTCCTGGGAAGCACTGACAGCCAGCAGGAGTAAAAGCCCACCATGCACGAGGCTTTAAAATGCTCCAGCTGGTCAAAACTATTCTGCCTGTTGATCTCCATTTCAAAGGAAATTGAGTCACTCGGAGAAGTTGCTAGAAAATAATGGCTGGTGACATCCTCGCTGGTGGCACTGAATGCTGTGAAATAGCAGCAAAGGGTTGAATTCTGCCACCCATTATCATGTCAGGCATTTCTTTTGTTCAGCTGCAGAGCCTGGCGGGGACCACGAGAAAGTCTCACCCCTCCAGTCCTTTCCTTGTAGCTGCTTTTATTAAACAGGCGTCGTTCCTGTCAACGTGAATAAAGGGAAGAGAGAGCAGTTCATTATCCAGTGTATCACTTTGAGTCTAATACTAATTAAAAGCTCTGCCATCACTTCTCTGGAACCTATTCTTAGAAATTATGTAAATTAATTGGAGTTTTGAAGAGGAGCATATGCCAAATCCTAAGTAATTCCCTGCTGGCTGAGGCAGCTCCAGCACTGGAACCGGAGAATGGCATCAGGAATCTTTTTTCTTTTCCTTTTGTGGCTGCAAAAATATAAAGTTGCTTTGGTAAATTCTGATTCTGATTCTCTTTAGCCAGTATATGAGACAGATCAAATATCCAGACCCTGACCATTTTCCAGAGAGGTGCAGTACAAAGGCTTTTTCTCCATGAAAGCTTTTCCATCTCAAAAATGACATTTAACACAGAAAGGGTTTTTACTTCCACAGCATTTCTCCAAAGAAATGCATGTTTCTGCTTCAAAGAGGATTTTGACCCTCAATAGGGAGACGTACTTGAGATCCTGTGAACTCCCCTTGTGAGTTCACTCTTGCTACTAATTTAATGGGGAAAATATTTACTTGCTGTGCTGAAAGACAAGGGAGATTTGATCCCAAGGTACACAGTGCTTTTGAAGTAAAATACTTTTAAATATTATTAGTGGGGTTTTTTTCCCCATCTGATTATTTTTCCCCTTTGAAAAAAAAGCCAAAACCAATAGAAGGAGAAACACCAAAGAAAATGGTTCAGATAAAAAGGAGAAGCAGTGTGGTTTGGTGTCAGTATATTTTGGTCTCAATCAACAAATCACTTTAAAAGTTGATTAAACTACTTGTGTGTTTAAAGATAAACATGATTAAGTACTTTGGTGGATCTTGGCTTATTACACATTGAGGCTGGATCCGAGCGTGAGTTGAATCATGGAACGTTTGTGGGGAGATGCTGATTCCAGGTGCACATTTTGCAAAGTTCCCTTTTCTTTACAACCTCACCCCGAGGATTAAGAGAATCAGAGTGTGGATCCTCATGCAGGAGGAAGCAGCCCTCCAGTCCAAATGTAATTTTTCCTTTAGGGGTTTAAAGTTCAGTGCTGATGATACTGGAGGTTTTGCAGCCGTCATCTTTTCCCTCTGAAGCTTTTTCAGTATTAAAGGTGGCAGTTTTTGATAGGACCTTAAAGCTCATCTCCTTCCACTCCCCTACCACAGGCAGGGACACCTTCCTCTATCCCAGGTTGTTGGCCTTGAGCACTTTCAGGGATGGACATCCACAACTTCTCAGGGAAACCTTTCCTAGTGACTCAGTTCCCTCACAGTAAAGAATTTGTTCCTAATATCTGATTTAAATCTGCCTTTTTTCAGCTTAAAACCATTCTGCCTCATGCTGTCATTGCAGCCCTTATGAAAAGGATGCTCAAACTCCTGGATGTCTGCTCCTTTCTCAGCCATTAGTTCCTTGGGCTCTGGGCCATTATTCTTAAATATTCCTCATCAGTATTTTCTTCTGCTTTGAGACAAAATTCATTATTGTTCTGTTGGTTTTTTCTGCTTTTTGTTTCTCACCAAAAAGGGCTCAGTCACACTGCAGGTTGGTAGGATGAAAACAACCATTCATTTAGCTGTGGTTGGAGCTTGTAAAAATCCTTATCTCTAGCAGCAGTTGGAATGTAAGATCCCAAAATAGAAGTTGTTAAGCCCTTACAAGTGCAGACAGTTCTTGGGAAAGAAAGCACAATGAAACACAACTTTGGATCAATAGAAAATCATTTTAGAGCAAGAATACCATGTGTAGCAATGAATGTAGATGGGATTTCTGCATGTATTTTGGAGTAGGCTGTGAGTGTGTGCTAAATACAGCATCATCTCTCTTCATGCTTGTATTGGCTAATGCACCAGTGGTTTAGAAATGCTGTGGGACATTTTTATTGAATGAACACAAAATGCAGTCATTACCCTGGAATTAGGGTGGCAGCTTGTGTTAGATAGGGATCACAAGGGATGGAGTAATTAGGTGTTAAACTAAACTGGTGGCAAACCGGGGAGTTGAATCTGGGTTGCTCCTGAATTTCAGGACTGCATCCTGCATCCCCAGAGCTGCTGTGTAGCCTGTGGTGCAGCCAGGTTTATTGTTGGGGATGTGCTTGAACACAGCTGCCTGTTTTCCTACCATCACCTTCTCTGGTTGCCCACATTTTGGGTCTGATTTCACTGTCCAGGCTCTAATCAATTTCCAGTCTCCTGGCTGGAAAAAAATACCTTTCCATATTTCCAGCCCAGTGCTTGTTTTGGTGCCCTGCTGGACATCCATCAGGGTAAATCAGGACCATGCTGAGATGTTTGCATCCATCTTGTGCATTACCCTGGGGGACTTCAGTTTGAGTCTTGGCACCTCTGGACTCTCAGTTGCTCCCAGAGGGTGATGTTGGTGGCAGAGGTGGAGAGGCTCTGCCCACAGGAGATTTTCAAGCAGCAGTTCCTTATCCAGGTCCTCATTTTGGTGAGCACAATCTCCTCGTGGACCAAATTCTGGTGGGATGCCTGAGATGGGCATAAACTCTGTGCTTTAGGTATGATGGGCATGGTGCTGTAGATGTGTCCTCTAGGACTGAGGTTGTCCCCTCTCTTTCTGTGGTTGGGTTGGCATGGAAAGAACACAGGACCAGCTGACAAAACCCACATGGATGTCTTTCAAACAGATTTTCAGATGTATTGGCTGCTTCTTGATGTCACCACGTGTTCCTCTTCCCACAGGACCATGCTGATTTGAGAAACCACTTCTTCACTGTGGGGATGAAGCTGGAGGCAGTGAATATGAGGGAGCCATTTCATATCTGTCCTGCATCAGTGACCAAGGTGAGTGCTCAGAAAGGAGGGATGGAAAGAACCTGTCTGGGAAACCCTTCCTGATTTCCACTGCATTTAGGAAAAACTGTAGTGGAAATTAGGAAGGTACTTTTAAAAAAAGGAGTGGTACTTAAGTGGCTGGAGAACACATTAAAGAATAGGTTTAAAATCCATGGATGTTCCTAATTAATTCTTTCTTTGCCACATACATCACCAGCTGATTCCATGCACTCAAAACCAATGGGGATGAGCACATTCATCTACCACTTGCATGCAAAAAAAAATGATCCCTCTTTTTTCTTTATCTCCCCTCCATCCATGTGTATTTTCCCTGCCCATCTGAGAAGCCTTTGGAAATAAAACAGCTGCATGGAGGTGGTAGCTGGATCCACACACTCAAATACAAGACAGAGGAAAGCTCTGGGGTCTTCAGGATCATCTCCAGTTGCTGCTCTGCTGTGGGACCCTGAACCTCAGCACTTCCCATTGCTTCATTTTACCCATCTCTAAAACTCAGGCTTTGATCTCTTGGGTAGAAACACTTTGATGCAAAGGTTTAGGTGAAAGCAAATTATTTTCAGTAGTTTGATCCCCAGGTTTTGGCTGTTTCAGCTTTCCATGTTACTTAATGTTGTAGCAAATCTAAGCCCTGATTTTGGTCTCTTCTTTTTCACCCCTTAGGTTTTTAACAATCATTATTTACAAGTGACCATTGATGACTTGAGACCTGAACCCAGCAAAATCTCAATGCTTTGCCATGCAGATTCCTTGGGGATCTTGCCAATACAGTGGTGCCTTAAAAATGGAGTCAATCTCACACCTCCCAAGGGTTTGTATTCCTTCTCAGTTTATATTCCTTCTCAGACTTTTGGGTTTACTCTGAAGCACATTTGCTTGTTATTATTGCCTTTAAAATTGTGCTGGTGGATGCTGCAGAGCATCAGCTGAAGTATCTCAAGCCAGAGTAGTTCTCTGAAGTGATTGGGGCTGTTCTGGCTCCTACCAGCCCGTGAACATCTCAGCAAATGTTTCTTGCTGGTGGATTGATGTCCCTGTGCTTTGAAGTCTGATTAAGGCTTGTGAAATCCTCATGAATTCCTGTGGGATGAATCCTTGCAGTTCTTTGTGTGTGCAGAGAGCAAAAGGAGCATTAAAACTCCAGTCACTGCAGAGGCAAACCCTGTTTCATCCATGTCAGTACAACACTGAGGCCAAGCAGAGCTCCTAAATCTGAATGTCTGAGCTAAAAACAGCTGCCTGCCCAGGAGTGTGGAGGGATTTCCTTGACTGTCTCAGCAAATCCCAGGGCACGCTGCAAGCAGTGTTCAGGTCACAGCCAGGAGAAACAGCCTCCAGCCCTGCTGTTCCTCAACTTTGTAGCACTGCAGTTAATTACTCCTGACTTCAGACAACCACCTGTGGTGCTCTAGCAATATTTCTTTGCTTGCAGAATGTGTTGGTTCCCTGGAATTTCAGGTTTTTGAAGCTGGCTGGGTTGTTGGTCTGTTGCCAAAAATCAATGTTGCTTGGGAGTAAGAAAAGCCTCAAAAATAATCATCAAGTTAAGTCTTGTGTATGAACTTTTGCCTTCATTTTGGAAAAAGCATGATGCTGCCAAAGCCAGGGAAGGGAAGGGTTATTCCCTACCAGATTCAGAATCCTCTTATGTATATCCAGAGTGTAATTTGAAATTCCCACCAAAGTCCTGGAGCCCTGTGCCTGCAGCTGCATACGGTGCATCCATGATTGCTCTGCTGCTTCTGCTGAAATAAATCTGCTGTCTGGGGCTTCAGCTCTCTCCTGCTGAAACCCAGGTGTAATGATAATGCCTGTGTAAGCACTCACTGATATTGGCCAGAAAAGTTGCTAGAAATCAAAGTAAATGGAATATTTTGGGGATTTTCCACCCAAATTTACATGCAGCTTGTCCAGGCAGGATAATTAACTGAAGGAGACCATAAGGCTTAAAAATTTCCAATCCATGCTGACACAAAGCCTGTCTGAGATGCTGGTTTATGGGTCAAGTGTGTGTGAAGTCTATTTTAGACGCCAGCATTTGAAGGCATATCTGAAGCATCTGTCATGTGAAAATTTTTCAGCTTGGCCAGGTCTGGTGGGAGGTGTCCCTGCCCATGGCAAGGGGTGGAACTGGGTCACCCTCCAGGCCCCTTCCAGCCCAAACCATTCTGTGTTTCTGTGATCTTGTGTGGTGCCTGGTTATTAGGATCCAGTTGGGCACCTGAGGAGGTGCAGAAAGTCTGTCCTTATTCCCCTGGTGAAAATCAAATTGGCTTTCTGCTCTGAGATCAGAAATCCTGGGGGGGAGCTATTAAAAAAGCAAAAAGCCAGTGGCAGATAGATGCATTCTATGTGTTGCTGTATTTTTATACTGTATATAAGGGCTGCATGTCCAAACTGAATTTTAGCACCTTAAAACCTTTTCTATGGGCAGACACTTTCTTTGAGTTACTAAAATGTAATAATCAGATATTAGAATGAGTCATTTGAAAATAAACACAAACTAAACACAACAAAAACCCAAAAACCACCAAAAAAGAAAGCAGATGGAAAGTGAAAAGCATCCAAACCCCTGGTTAATATAGGCTTGACAAGGAAGTTTTCTGATCTCAGAACTAACTGATTTTTTTTGGTCAGAACAATATGCCAGGTTGGGATATTGGGAGTTTGGAGTCCTTTATTTGTCTGATATCCATTCTCTTTCCTTTTTGCTTATCAGGGCTTTATTGAAGACAAACAAAGAGTAAATGGGTCATGAACAGGAGGTGCAAATATTTGCTACTCGAAATAGAGAGCAATATTTTCCTGTACAGTGCCAAAAATGAATACCCATTAACTGCTGCTGTATAAACATTGAACAAGTTCTGTTTATATTTATTAGAGCAGGATTTATAGACCACTTCCCTTTAGAGTAACAATCATTGTTTTATGAGCTATTATTAAGTGGGGAAAAAAACCCAAACATTTGATAATGTTCCTTGTTGCAAAGCTTACTGAGGAAAAGCCACTTCCAAATCCTCTAGTATGTTTTATTGTATATTTGCTTTGAATTAGCTTCTGATACTGGCTTCTTCCCTGCCCAGAGCTGAGGTGGCAAACATGGTGAAGGTGTTTCGTGTTTGAGGAGTTGTGCAAACACAGCTCTCAGTGCTGTCCCTTGGGCTGAGCCTTGCAGGGTGTGAGTGCCATATGCTGATGGAGGCATTGGGTACCTGGTACCTCTCTGTGTGCTGAGGGAGGCAGCTGGGAGCAGGACCACAGAATCAGGGATCAGTGAGGTTGGAAAAGACCTCCAGGCAAGCTGGGTCATTGAATCCAAGTTTTGATGGCCACCTTGTCATCCACACCACAGCAGTGAGTGTCCAGTTGTTTCTTATCACTTCCAGAGGTGGGCACTCCACCCCTTCCCTGGGCACCCCATTCCAATGCCTGACAACCCTTTCAGTGAAGAAATTCCTCCTAATATCCACTCTGACCCTCCCCTAGCACAGCTTAGTGTCATTTCCTCTCCTCCTGTCCCTGTTCCCTTGGAGCACAGCCCGATCCCCCTGGCTGTCCCCTGTGGCATTCACATTTTCTGAAAAATCCCTTCACCCAGGATTTTCTCCTGGGAAGTTGAGAAGCTTCAGAGAAAAAGGAAAACAAGTTTTTATCTCATTTGCTTCTCCTGTGTTGTGCTCACATGTGGAATGTGTTTGGAGATTATTTATCCACAGGTGATTGTTTCATTGGGTTCTGCTGTGAGTTGTTTGATTCTTTGGCTAATCAGGGCCAAGCTGTGTCAGGACTCTGGAGAGAGTCACGAGTTTTCATTATTACCTTTTTAGCCTTGTGTAAGTATCCTTTCTGTATTCTTTAGTATAGTTTAGTTTAGTATTCTTTAATATAATATATAGCTTCATAAAATAATAAATTAGCCTTCTGAGAACATGGAGTCAGATTCATTGTTCCTTCCTTCATTGGGGCAAATCCTGCAATACAATAGTCCCCTCCTGTCAGGGACTTGTGCAGAGCCAGAAGTTCCCTCTGAGCCTCCTTTTCTCCAGGCTGAGCCCCTTCCCAGCTCCCTCAGGTTCTCCAGACCCTTCCCAGCTCCATCCCTTCCCTGGACAGCTCCAGCCCCTCCAGGGTTCTGTGGCCATGAAGGCCCAGAACAGGCCACAGCCCTCGAGGTGCAGCCTCACCATGCAAAGACCACAGACAAATCAGGGCTCATTTGAAATGAATTCCTGGGTGTTCCCCTCTTGGAATCTTTCCTGTAGTGCTGCAGTAAAGTTATTGTTACCTCCCCAGCTGCCCTCCCAGGTTCCATTCCTGCTCTGTGGCCATGAAGGCCCAGAACTGGCGACAGCCATCAAGGTGCGGCCTCACCATGCAAAGGCCACAGACAAGTCAGGGCTCATTTGAAGTCCAAATGAAATGCAAATCAAAAAAACCCAAAAAAAAACCCCAAAAAGTGGGAGATTAGTGTCTTCAAAAAATGGTCTGTGAGGAAATGAGCTGCAGTGCAAAGAACCAAAACATGCCAAAACAAAGCTCACAGACGTTGCAAAAGCAGGGGAAAAAGTCAAGGAGGAAGGCACAACTTGGAGGGGAAGATATGAGGGACATGGCATGGATACTTAAAAAAAAAAAAAACCAAAACAAAAAAACAAGAAGAAAAAAATCTTCGCCAAAGTCAAAGCCATCAAAATACAGGCCATATGCCATCAAGTACAGGGACATGCACCAAAGCTTGCCAAACTTGATCCTCATTGAAGGCCAAAACAGATAAGAAGGACTTACAAAGATGCTGGAATGGAGATACCATCAAAGGAATTGCAATTGGAGGAGAAGAAAAAGAAAATTGGGAAATTTAGTGACTACGTGAAAATGGACTGGCATTATATCAGGTGCAGTGCAAAGGACCAAACCAAGCCAAAACAAAGCTCACAGATGTTGCAAAAGCAGGGGAAAAAATCAGAGGAAGACACAACATGAAGGGGAAGATATGAGGGACATGGCATGGATACTTTAAAAAAAAAAAAAAAGAAAAAAATCTTTCCCAAAGTCAAAGCCATCAAAAGGCAAGCTGTCCCATCAAGTGCAGGGACATGCACCAAAGATTCCTCTATTGGTCCCCATTGAAATTGCAAGATTCTGTTTCCCTTCCCGAAAGGAAATTTCCTTTCGGGAAGGGAAATGGAATCTTGTAAACCCAAAAAGAAAGGCTTACAAACACTCTGGAATGGAGATGGCTCATGTGAAATCAATTCCTGGGTGTTTCCCGCCTTGGAACCCTCCCTGTGCTGCTTCGGGGAGTTATTTTTACCTCCCCCGCTGCCCTCCTGGGTTCCATTCCTGCTGAAGCCTGAAGGAAAAGGCTTCCAGTGGTTCCAGTGGTGCAGGGCTGAGTGGGGCAGTTGTGTGATGATAGCACAGTCTGGTTTTTGTACCTCACTAAAACACCTCTAGTGGGCCTTTTCCATCCACTCTGTTAACATCTGCGTAGCTTAAAATCAAGATGCAAAACCCATCCATGAGGGGTTTAAATTGGAGATAAAAAAAGAGATGAAGTGTTGTTACTATGATATTTTTTGAAAATTTTTCGTTGCCCAGGATTTTTTCCTGGGAAGCTGAGAAGCCTCAGACAGAAATACAACCAATAATTATCTGATTGTTGCTTTTTTATTTGTTGCTTTGGAATGTGGCTTGGACATTGTTTACCAACAGGTGAATGTTTGATTGGTTCTGTGTGAATTGTTTTAATTTAATGACCAATCATGGTCTAGTTGTGTCAAGTTCTGAGGAATTACAGGGTTTTATTATTTATTCTTGTTAAACCTTCTGTTGTATCTTTTTTCTTTCTTTAATGTAGTTTTAGTATAGCATTTTTTAATATAATATAATAATAAATCAGCTTTCTGAAAACAAGAAACCAGATTCTCATCTCTCACCTCGTCCTAGAAACCCTCACACCACAAAGTGTGAAGAAAATACTGTTGCAGAAATTGTTGAAAAACAGTGCAAGGATATTTTTTGTATGAAAAAAGAACTTTTTTTATAAGTAACTACCCTTTTTTCCTTCCCTGTGCATGTTTAGTTTTTTAATTATTATGCACTTTAATGCCCCACAGAGACAGGCATCATAGCTCAAGGCTTTATCTCAGTAATTTGTTTGTCATGAATGCAGTTACTAGAAATAGAAATAATCTTATCCAAGATACTAGGATCTTAGCAGGATGCTTGGCATGTTGTTTTCAAAAATTTTGCCTCCTTTTTTTGGGATCTGGCAGACTGATAGGGGATTACACTCAGTATTCCAGTCCTTGCCCGTAAAAAAAAAGCCACAATTTTCATTGTCATAAATGATTCATTCACATTTGATCTTGAGTGTCCCTTTTTGACTATCAGTGCAAAAGGAATTTAGGGATGTTCTGTGAAATGAGGCCAAGCTGAGATTTCTAGGGAGATTGAGGGGAGAATTTGGCCTTTGGGTGACTCCTGAAACTTTCCAGTCAGAGTAGTTCTGCAGTAATGTCATTAGAGTGTCCTCAAGCCCCTGGACAGGATTAGCACTCACTGGTTTCAAGCACTGCAAAAATAGAAACTTAAGAGGAAGGCCAAAAAAAAAAGCACCCAAAAGCTAATGAAAAATCCCCCAAATGTTTCTGTCCCAAAAATATATTGCTAAATTGCCAAGTAGGAATAGTGGATGAGCAGAGGTCTGATTTGTCTTTCTATGATGGGGACTCCTTGAGAGCAGCTCATATAAAGGAATCTCTTAACTTTACCTGGAAGCAGAGGCTGAAGGGATGATCTGCTTGCTGAGGCTGTTTGAGGGATATCTGCATTCATTTTCCTGCTCTACTCCAGATTTCTGTACCATTTTTACTGTGATGGGATTCAGCTCACACACCCTGAGCTGCTGGGGAGCCAGTCAGGAAGGGTACATGAATGAAGAGAGGGGAATTTATCTCCTGCGTTGAAAGGGAGGATGGATCAGCTCCTGATTGTGCTGATCCCCTCCCTGTCCACTCCTGAGGGAGCAGCAAATGTCCCATGTCTAGCTCCATCACCTTGTCCACCTTTTAGACAGCTAAAAGCAAGAGAAAGAAGTCCATAACTAGCCCCATGTGGAAATTTGTCACAGTGGCACTTGTCATTGGTTATGAGTTTGTTAAAAGCTGGGAGATGTTCACAGAAAAAGGAAAATAGGAGAAATGATTATGTCGTATTACTTTTTAGTGGAGACTTGGCAGTGAAATGCAGATGTGTGAATGGAGGCTGGAGGAGCCATTGGCTCTCATGGTGTGTGACCAGGGGCCCTGCTGGCACTGCAGGGGTCGCTGAGGCAGGATGAGATGCTGAAACACAAATACTCATCTCTTTGGGGTCTGTTTTGTCCTCTCTCTGTGGTGTGGAGTGGTGGCTGATGGCTCTTTTTGTTTTGTCCTCCTGCAGGTTACTCTGGCCAGGACTTTGACTGGGCAGACTACCAGAAGCAGTGTGGAGCTGAGGCAGCACCTCACATGTGTTTTAGAAATGTAAGTTCTTCCTTTTGCTCCTGTCCAGCCATGTGAAAATAAAACAGCTTGCATAGAAAAAATGCTGCGAGGCTTTGAGGGTTTCTTCCAGAGCACCATGAGGATGCCTTAGGAAGGAAACCGGGGAAATATTCCAGGTCTCCAACCCTAAAGAGAAAAAACTCATCTTAGTCTTGTCTTTATCTGTAATTATCCTGCTCTTCATCCCCTCTCTGGTTTTGTGCAGCTCTATAAGGATCTCATCTGGTTATTGCTATTAATTCAAGTGCTACTAAAAATAATTCAGGTAAAGAAATTGCAGAGTATCGTTTGTCCCTTTTTACATTTTAGGTGTTCTCTCTGTATCCCAGGGATACAGAGAAACCAAACCACATGTATTAAAATGCTAACTGTTGAGAATGTAGGAGAGGATGATTAACCCTCATGGATGCTCTGGTCTTTGGGACAGTTCATGTCCTTCCTTGATGTAGCAACAGTGATGTGAGAGTGATGGATGCCATTAAGATTCACAGCTTTTGAAATAATCTTTTGCAGGCTGTTTTATGGCAATGATAGTCCTGTGTGGCTTGATCTGACATCAGTCTGATTCATTGCTTGGGGAAAGGCAGATGTAGCCTTCTGCCTTTCCCAGCAACCTGGTGCCTTCATGTGCCTTCAGCTGATGGAGGTTGAGATCCCATCAATAACTGAAAATACTCCTGATGGTGGTACCTAAATGTTAGTGGTGCATCTAAAATGAGCACAGAGAGCTTTGCAAAACAAAGTGGTGTGGTGAATGATGGACAGACAGGTTTCTGTAGGAATTGTACAGCTTTTCTCTGGGCTCAGAAGTCACAGGACTGAGGGATGTGGTGTTTATGGATAGCAGAATGGAGACAGGCACCCGCTGTGGTTTTCCATGGCCTTTCTCATCTGTGGTGGCCTAGGGGCAGCCTGGCTTGGAAGCTTTGATGGTGAATTAGTCAATTTTTTATTGATGAACTCACAGTACCATGAAGAGAGTCTGACTTGGGCGTCAAACCAGAGTAAGAATTTCTTTGCCCCATAAAGGCCCTTTTCCTGAAAGGACTTAAAGCAAAGATTTCCAGCAGTCCTGAGGGAAGCTGCATCACACAAATTCAGTGGGGCTATTTTTACATTTCTCTTCTGCAAGCATCCCTACCTTTTCTTTACATCTCTTTTCATTTTGCCAACTAGTGGATCTCTTCTCTCAGCAGTGGCAGCCTTGAGGAAAGTCTCTACATAATATCCACTAAGATTCAGTCAGGTCTGGGCATTTTTTGGTCCTTTTTAAGGAAACATTCACCAGATGAACGTGTGTCTCTTATTCTTCCACTCTCAATAACACAATTCTTTTCAGAGGGAACTGCTCTGCTGTCACTTGTGCAGCCTCCTGGCTGGCTGATCCCCTTGATTTGTGGCTGTGAGGGGCTCTTTGATGGAAGATTTTCTTGCATCTCCCACCTCATGCTGCCAGACATGGTGCTGGCAGTGGAGGTGCTGGAGCTGTTTCCCCAGGAGGGATTTTTAACAAGGAGAGGCAGTTATGGAATGGATTGACGTGCCCAAATGCTTAGTAAAATAAACTCCACCTAACTGTTTTGCCATTGATTTTGTATAAATGAGCCTCCAGCACTGAACTGCAATGAAAGGAGCCAGGGTGATGATAAATGGCATTTCCTTGTTAGGCAACATAAAAGGCATTTAAACAAACTCAGCCTGCATTCCTGCAGCCCTGGCCATTAGCAGCTTTTGCAGGGTGAAGCTGATCTGTGTGCTGAGCAAGGCTTGAGGCAGTCCAAGGTGTGCTTGAGAGTAGCAGCATGTTCTTGGATGGAAAAGAGACCAAAGCCATGAGTGTTTAGTCTCTCAGAGAGCTCTCAATGCTTGTTCAAGGTGAAGTGCCCATGGTCCTTGGTGTTGTATCAATGGGAGGAGGGTTGAATTTGAGCCTGGCTTCCAGGATGAGGGTTTGGTGTCATTTTGAGTCAGTAGCAATTTTTACCCATCCCAATTATTAGTTGTAAAAGATCTCATTTCAGAGAGGGAACCCTTTCTGTGCTACTGTGTGCAGAGAGATGCAGAGCAGGTGGAACAGAGGGGAGGGAAATCCAAGGAGAGGAGGCCCTGGTATGGACACAGGTGTTGCATTAGTGTGTTTGCAGGGACACTGGTGGGGAGATACTGGGAAGGGACTCAGAATAAGTGACAGGAGGGGACACTGGAAGGAACAGTGGCAATGAGCACAACTGGATCCATCTACACTCCAGCCAATGTACCTGAAAGCCTTGTTGATTGAGCTTAAAATAGAATCACAGGATGGTTTGGGTTGGAAGGGTCATTAAAGACTGTCTAGTTCCAGTCCCCCCATCTCATGGGCACTGCTGCCACCCACTAGATTATTTGCTCAGAGGTCCATCCATGAAAACTCCATGAAGTAAAGCATTCTTGAAAAGGTTATTCAGGTATCTTCAGCTTCAGTCAGCTTGGGTGACTCAACGCTTGAAGAGGTTTCTCTGATCTCAAGCAAGATGGTTTTTTTGCTTTATAATGTTTCTCCTAGCAAGGTGAGAGATGCTTAAGCACAGGAGTTCTGGGAACCCTCTGGGTCGTATCACATTAACAGAAAATGCACAATTGGCAAACATTCTGACATCCTTGGAGCTGATGTGGAGCAACCTCCTCCCAGTCCCCTGGGAGTCAGGTATAGGAGTAGAACATGACATGCATTTCATCCCTGAGTTTTTAAATGGGTGTTGATGCAAACCTGCTCCTGCGTGGGTTCCTCTCTCCAGGGTCCCAGCCTCCTCTGGGTATCCATCTCCTGTGACAGGGATCCTCAGGGGCAGCAGATGGGTCTCTACTCCCCTGCAGACCCAGCTGTGCAGGGGCACAGCTGCCTCACCCTGGGCTGCACCAGCACAGCTCTGATTTGGCTCTGGATGCCTTTGCATTCTTCAGGGTACCCTGCCCTTCCAGCAGAAAGCAAACCATGCTAAATTTATGCTTCCCAGCAGACAGTCTGGTTGAAGTTGTGCAGTGCTGCAGTGCCATGTTTCAGCATTGTCTCTTGCCTCTTTCAGACATCCTTCAGCCGTGGCTTCACCAAGAACATGAAGCTGGAGGCAGTGAACCCCAGGAACCCTGCAGAGATTTGTGTGGCCTCCATCACCTCGGTGAAAGGACGGCTGATGTGGCTACACCTGGAAGGTACATGCCCTAAAGGCTGCTTGGTGTTTGTCTGCTTCGCTCGCTCACTCACTCACTCACTCATTCACTCACTCATTCAATTTTGTCCTTCGTCCTCTGCACAAAATTGCTCTCTCCAACTTTTCAATTTTATACACATTGACCATTTATGTTTTATGGGGAATTACATTTACCTGCTCTTTCTCTGGGGGAGCTACAAGTTCCTCCGCCCCTCCATCCACATGGTCTTTATCACCATGATAACACCCTCCTCCCTGCCATCATCATACACCTTCATCCTAGGAATAGTTTTCCTCACTTGTGCAGCAGAGACTTCTACAGCAGTTCCCAACCTGACAGTTTGTACAGGAGGAGAGGTCTCTAATCAAAACCCTTAAAGTTGGTAAAAACATTGCCAGGTAACCCAAAGGATTATAGTTCCTCCCAAGTGTTTGCGTTTGGTAGAGCTGTGTGCAATGTCAGGTTTTGGTTTTAAACTCAGAGATGATTGTTCTAGCTCAAGGTAGCAAAAGCTTATCTGGAGCCTAGTCTGGATCAGGGCAAATACTATTTTTTAATTGCTGGAATCAACAATTGTTTGAAATTTCATTCTCACTAAGGCTGTTGTTGAATTTACATCCATCTGATCAAGGAATTTGACCCATTTTGGGAACTTCTTTTCTTAAATGACCAGGTGTCTTCACTTGTATATGCCAAAGATGTGGATAGACCAGGAAGAGGACAACACACTCCCACGTTGCTTCCTTCCCTCATCTCTTTCTTCCTGCCTTTTACTCTTTTAATTTCTTAAAGGATGTTTTTTTACAACTTACCATAAAAAAGCCCTGTGTACATCTACGTTATTTTGAGTTCTGATATATAGATGCTTTAAGCTTGGTTTATATCTCAGTACCAGGAATTGAATGATCTGTTGTAAACAGAAAAGATGCAAAAGACTGCAGAAAACAGAAAGAAATCTTTGCTGCTCTAGGAATACATCACTACAGTATGCACAGTGTTATGCAAAAAGCAGGCATTAAAAAAAAGCCACAGCCAACTGCTTGCAGAGTTGTAAAATAAATGTGGCTTGAAGTGAGGCATGGGTTTTTTTGACTCCATTAATATAGTGTTGTTTCTGACTGATTCTTTATATTCTGGAAGCAGCAAGGCTGCCCAGCTTCCACAGGATCCCATCACTGAAGACCTCAGGTCTCACCATTTACCACAGGCGCCTCTGCAGCTTTCATTGTTGCCCTCCCAGTTTCCCAGTTGGACAGCCCAGGCTGCAGCCATAAACCAGGAGCACAGGAGTTAAGCAGGGCTGAGTTAGACGTGGGGGAGCACTGTGTGATAAATCACACTTTGTACAGTAGCAAAACCCTAAACTGGAAGGCGAGCGTTTAATGAGCAGCAGTGCGGTTCCCCCGTGGTGGAGGAGAGGCTCAGGACTGATGGGATGCTCTGTGCTCTCTGCTACTTTATTGCTCATCATCTGCATTGTTAATTTTTACTGGTTCATTTTAGATTTTAGAGCTTGAAGCTTTCTGCTGTGAATTTATACAAGTAATAATGCACGCTCCCTGCACAGCCCAGGAATTTGAGGAAAACCCTTTTGGTTAATCACTTCTCCAGGGAGGTTTCCTGTAATTTCCTCTTTTACAGTTTTCTGGAGTTGCTGCTCTGTTCTACCCATCCTGTAAAATTCATGGTAGACATTTTCCTCACCCTGTTTCCAGTTTCCTTGTTTTCCCTTTAACCTCCCAATTCCCATGGACACTTCTTGCTCTGAGAAGAGAGCGGCATAAAACGCATCAGATGAAACTAATGAGTCTCAGAAAAGCTGTTTTCCACTCCTGTGAGTCAGGCCAGAGGAAGCAGTGAGATGTTGGAAGTGGAATTCAGGGTTATCAATTGCCAGAGGGCAGAAGCAGTGCCAGGGAGGACAGAGGAGCTGTGAATGTGTCTTGCAAGAGGAACAAAGTGTTGCAGGAGAACAGGCATTGTGCTGCTTTCCTGCTCCTCAGGGTACCTGCAGCTGTAAACTTCAGAAGCAGAATGTTCATAGAACCATTTTGGTTGGAAAAGACCCTTCATGTCTCATTTGTTGTTGCTTGTAAGCAGGAAAGTACATTTCATCTGGTTACTTTATAATAATTTTGAACTGTAGAATAATTAAGATTGGAAAGGACCTCTACAATAATTGAGTCTGTTTTGTCAGAATAGCACCATTACAATAATGAAGTAATTGGTTTTCTCAGACCACTGGTGGCATTTCAGTGGGGTCTGTGTTGATTTCTTGCTCTGTTTAGGGCTTGATCCATGGCTTGCTCACTGTCTGCATGTCTTGCCACTGTTGTCACATGGGCTCCTTGCCTGGATTTGTGTCAGGTGGAAATGCAGCTCCCCACTGGAGCTTTCATCAGGTTCAAACTGAGCAGTGACCCCGTGGTATTATCTCATGGAGGGAAATGGTTTTTCAGGGAACTTCAGCTGCTGAAATCTTGTGTATCCTTCCCCTATACCTTCATCCCATTTTCTTCCTCACATACCAGTATGTATTTTCAGTGGATAGTGCATGAACGTGATGATGCAGGGCTCAGAGAAGCACCATGAGGGCATCCTTGGATCTACACAGACATCATAATTGCATTTTTTTCATTATTTCCTCCAGCAGTGTGCACCTATTTCCCTGCCTCGTTTGAGGAAGAGGCTTTTTTCTGCAGCCACACACTCTCAGAGCAGCAGGTTCATTACTGATCCAAATGCTGCACCTCAGCCTCAGTGCTGTTCCCATCTCAAAGTTCAATTACTGTTTCAATTACACCACAAGCCCTTGATGAACACACATTAGTGGGAAGCTCCCTGTAGTCCTCTGGCTGTGCACAGTCAAACACTTGCTGCCTTTAGCAGGAGGCAAAGATGTTTTAACAGATGCCAAGGCAAGGGTGATGCAGAGGAAACTGCTGATCCTTTGATCCCTTTTATTAGATCACCCCATGCTGGTGCTGGAGCTGTCTCTCCTGGGGTGGAATTGACAGAGGGAGGAGGTGAAGTTCCTGGCCCAGCTGTACCAGCAACTTGAACTTGAATTGGAGTGGTTAAATGGTGCCTTGACTCAGGACACAAGAGTTGTTTTTGAAAGAACTCAAAGCCAGCAGGAATATCTTAATTGGACTTTGAGTGGAAATCAGGTAAATTAGGAAAAAAAAGTAGGAAAATTTTCCTTCACTGAAGGGGTGGTCAAGCATTGGAACAGGTTTCCCAGGGTAGTGGTGGAATAACTGTCTCTGGAAGTGTTCAAAAGTCATGTAGATGTGGTGCTGAGTTACATGGGTTAGTGGTGGGCCTGGCAGTGATGGGTTAGTGGTTGGGCTTGATGATCTTGGAGGTCTTTTCCAACCTAAGTAATTCTTTGGTTCTGTAAGTGGGACCCACATCAATAAAGACAGGAGATTGTCTTCTAAAGGAGGTGTAATAACCAAATTGGAAGATAATTGCTCTAACTAGAGACTTCACGTGAAGTTTTGGAGTCAGCATCGTGCCATAGACCTTGGTGCATGTGTCCCACTTGGAATTTTCTTACTGCTTCTCTCCTGTTGAGTGACCAGCTCTTGCTTCCTGTGAGGAACGCTAGGAGAATTCGTGGCTCTTCTGGATGGAAGAGTGGCCACCTCTCACCCTTATAAAATGGGACTCAAGGGCAGAGCTGCACAAAAAAGCTTCAGGGAAGCACTGGAACATCAAAGCCTCTGGGATATGCTCTCCTACCTTTAAGAGCAAGCATTCAACAAGTCCTTCTCACTCAGTAATGCAACTTCACAAAATATCCAGGCTGTCTTGTTGAGGGAAGTTATATATGTTTAACCTCCCTGGCTTTTGGCTGCTTCACTGCACACCCTCAAAGTGCTCTTAATGGGGTTTTCCTCTGAACCACATTGCACTGTAAATGCAGCAGCCCCATCCTTGCTGTCTGTTCAGAACTGGAGATGAAATGGTGCCTGATTTGGGTGCAGGGAAGCAGATTTATTTTTACATGTTCCATCATTTGCTTCCCCAGGCTTGTGATGGATGCTTGGATGGCTCTGAGCTTGGTGTTCCCATGCCTAAATCCCATTATGAATTTGCGTTTATAGGTTCACAGATGCCCTCTCCAGAGTACATTGTTGATGTGGAGTCCATGGACATTTTCCCTGTTGGCTGGTGTGAAGCAAATGCTTATAACCTCACCCCACCACACAAAGCTGTTTGTAAGTACATGGAGACCTGAGCAGTGCAGATAATATCAGGGATTTTTCCTAAGGTCTCTAATCCCATTTTTGACACTATCAACCTACCCAGCAGACCAATAACCAGGCTATTTACAGTACACAATCAAGTGTACTGCAATAAATCATAATAAATCTAATTAGTGACCAGACTGGAATGATGCCGTTTGTATTTTTCTCTGTGATCAGCTCCTACAAAAATGGGGTTGTCTGTGCTGGGGAAGGCTGTTCCATGGTTTGGGATTACAGAGGGGGTTGTGGGTTTGCAGAGGATTTGTTGGTCAGTGGGGTTGTCAGAGGGAAGCCAGGTTTTGTTGTGCTGAGCCAGGTTCACTCAGGCAGCTGAGTGGATTGGGGACAAAGACCTCAAATTGAAAAAAAAAACAAAACCATAAAATGTCAGGTGCAATGGACATACAGAGGCCATCCAGGTGCCCCTTTCCAAAACAGGATCTGCTTCATTTAAATAGAGAAATAATTGCTGCCATTCTGTGATGGAATTTCTGCCCTTTCCCAGGGTACGTGTCCTTTATTTCACTGCCCTTGCCAGCTCAGAGATTTTCCTTGTGTTGTTTTAAATCCTCCCACAGCACAATTAAGCCCACAGTGTTTTGTCCTGCCTCCAGTGCATATTAAGACAAATTTCTTTCCTTTCTATTTGCATTTGAGGGCATTTCATGAGAACTCAGTGGCTTGGTGCTGCTCTCCTGTTCCAACATACCCAATCTCAAGCCACCAGGTGAAAAATTGGCCTCATTGTTTATATTAATTAACATCTGAAAGGCAAATTTTAAAATGTACCATCCCTTTCAAAGAGTTAAATATGCTTAAGTTAAAAATCAGGCAGCCAGAGCCTAATTTAGGAGAATACTGCTATGGCAACATTATGCAGCCTTATCACAAGTTATTGCTGGGCATAAATTATGCTGGAGGTAATCATGCTTGTAAAATGTAATCTTATCCATATGTGTTTCTGTATGGAAAAATATTTGTGTTTTTATTTTAATTTTTTTTTCTTTTAAGCTGATCCCATAAAACACAATATTAGCATTCCAGAGGAAAGATTAAATGTATTATTACATCCTTAAAGTAGGTTTTAATGATGTAGTGACTTACTTAAAAAATACCAAGAAAAGATGGTGATAGTAATTAAGTACCATTTCATTGTGTTCAAAGTCATTTTATAGTCAGTGCATTTACACAGCTTTTTATGCATTCTGGGTGTACTTAACAGGACAGAAGGGGACAAAATTATTTTTTTCTTTCTTGCTTCATTTTTGCAGTGCGAAGGAAGAGGAGAATTGCAGTTGTGCAGCCAGAAAAACAGTAAGTTGTTTTGGGGTTTTCTTGTTATTTAAGTTGGTGTTTTCACAGGAATGCATCAGGTCTTCCAGGGGGGATAATACACAGCAGCTGTGTGGCTCAGTAACTACTGCTCAGATACTGCAGCACAGCCAGCAAGAGGATTCTTTTAAGGCTGAAATATTTGTTAGCATATTAGAAAGTCTCTGTAACAGCCATTTTTTGTTGGCTGGGGCTGTACAGCCCCTGTCTGATGGCCAGCAAGGGATGCTTAGGGAAGATGGACATATACCAAGAGGGCATTTCCCTGTCTAGCTCTTGCAGTTTGTAGAAACTTGAATTTAAGGGGTTTAAGGGAGATATTTGGAGCCTGGGGGTCTAAAGCTGACACATCAGAGTATATTTTCAGAGAATGGGTGGATCTGGCTCCTTCATCTGCAATACCCTGGTCTGTGATCAGCCATGGGGAAGTGGAGTTGTGTTGGAGGTGTCTCTGTTCCCCATCCCAGGCTGCTGCTGGTGTAGCTTTTGGTCCAGCCTGGGGACTGACCCTTTGTCCTGTCTGATGCTATTAAATACACCAAATACTCTATTAAATACACCCCATTTCTCCTTTTACAGGTTACCATCCACAGTGCCTGTTGAGAAAATACCTCATGACCTCTGCCCAGTTCCTCAGCTAGACACAACAGGTAAGGATCCTTATTGCAAAGACCCATGCCCTGTGTGGAAGGGGAGGACCCCAAAAAGGCAGTGAGTTCCAATAGGGGTGGGGAGATGGAACCACATCCTCAGGGGGTGTAAGGTGGAATGAACCCACCTGATGTACAGCAGATGAGGGTCTGGTTTTCCACATGTCCTGCTGGGGCTATCAGAGTTACCCTGGAGCTTGCCCAGTTGATATGATGATCTTAAGACAAGGCTAATGAATCTCTCTGATGGAGATGGGTGCAGGTTGTTAATTGACACTGATGAAATTTGGTACAGCAGGACCTGATGGGTCCCCTCTGTTATGTCAGGACTGTGTGGTGTGGCTGCTGCTTCTGCTAAAGGCAAATTCCTCTCCCCTTCAGCGGTGGCAGTAGGCTCTGAGTGCAATATTCATCCAATTAATGGTGTAAACCCAGCAGCAGGGACAGGATTCTACTCACTTTATTTCAGCACACTGTGGGACACATGTTGGCATTGCAGCCAACACCCCATTACAGTCCAGTGGGGAGAATCAGGGTCCTTTTGGGTATGATAACCAAAAAAAAGTGAATAAGCACTTGGAAGGCCTGTGAACCACATCTAGAAATTCCCATTTCTCTCCATGGTCTATGGAGGAGCCCAGAGTAATTAGCCCAGCCAAGGAAAACTGCTCTGTAGACCCATGCTGGGTCAGGGAGTGGCACTGCAGGACTTGTGGGGTTGGACAGGAGCTGAAGAGGGATTTCTAAAGCTCTTTCACTGAGAGAATGTTCTCCCTGAGCTGACCCCCTGTCTGTGAGGCTCAGCTCATGCATCCCCTCCTGGCAGGTTGTAGTGAGGTGCTTGTGTCCCCCTGCACTGTGAGTTCTGGGAGAGCCCTGGCTCATGTCATGGATTAACTCCTTTCCCAGTCCTCCTTTCAACAGCCAAATCAGTCACTATGAAAAAACCACTTCATTTTCCCATGCTGGACAGAGTTGAATAGCAGAGGCTTCTCTACCCTCTACCCCAGGGTAGAATTTTGTGCCTCCTTTATTCTCCTCCCCTTCCTCCCACATCCAGGAGGAAGAAGTGTGGAAAATAGAAAAATAGAAACTTCCACAGGCACAGGAGGGTTTAATTTGCAGCCTTGCAAGAAGCTTGAATTGATGCAAAAATAAAGTACACAGACATTAAACAGAAAAATCATAAACTTATGTTCTATAGTTATAAGTAAGAATATGCCTTAAGTGAGAAACTCCATTGATGAAGGGTTTATAATGTCAGGGTGTAATTGTATAGAATAAGCTAAGAGTTTAGAAGTTATAATAAAAGCATGTGTGTGTACATGTGATTGTAACTCATTAGATGAAAGTGTATACACATTGCAGTAGAAGTAAGTAAAGGTGATAAGTTAGAAAAACAAAATAAACTTTGTGGCAGCTATCCATTAGATTAGAAAGTCATATATTATCTTGTAATGAAAAACTTGAGACCATTTTGAGCTACAGCTGACTACTTACTCTCTAAAATATCATAGCCTCTAAGACTGATGTTTATTTGAACAATAAATTGTTTTTAACCCAACTGTAGTCCCATCCCTTCAATTAAAACAATGATAATAATACAGAAATGCCCTTGATTTATGGTATAAGAGTGCTGCTGCTTTCTCCTTGCAGGCACCATCAATGGGAGGTACTGCTGCCCTCAGCTCTACATCAACCACCGCTGCTTCTCAGGTCCTTATTTAAACAAAGGCAGGATTGCAGAGCTACCTCAGTCTGTGGGGCCTGGCAAGTGTGTGCTGGTCCTCAAGGAGGTATGGCCCAGCTCTCTTTTGGGGGGATTTCAGAGGAAACTATGGGTCAACGGCTTGCCAGACCCAGAATTTGCAAACAATGCACCTGAAATTGTCCTGGAGTCGTTTCCATGAGGCAAAACTGCAAGCCAGGAAGAAGGGGCAGGTTTTGCATTGTGGGTTTTGATGGGAGAGCTGATGTTTTTGAAACATGAGGAGTTCTTTTGGTTGGAGGCAACTTCAGTGTGGGTTGCCACCAACACAGGAGCAAATAGCAGTGTCATGGAGATGAGGGCATCTTGTTTTGGAGATATAAACAATTTCCCAAGGAGCAGGACAATGGCAGTGGCCCAGCATTGGTTACTTTGCAGAAAATATTCAAGCTTATTATGGCCATAAACTCAAGCTCATTCTGGCCATGGGAACCAATTCCAAATTCTGGGAAGGGTGAAGAGAAAACATTCAGGGTGTTGCTGTACCTGATTCCTGGTAGCTGTTGCTGAGATGAGGGAGGTGCCAGCAGCACAGGGAGCCCTGGGCAGGATAGAGGTGAAAAATTGCAGCACAATTAAAGTTCCTGATACTCCTCAGCCATTTTCACCTAAGGCTTGTCATTACCTCCACTGATGCAATGAAGCATCATCCTATTTGCGTACCCTTGAATCCCAAAGTTTTAGGTGAGTAGCAAGTAACTCTTACGCAGTTTATTATTACCAAACTTATTTTTACAGCCTTGCTGTTCATTATTCCCAGTGCCAGCATAAATTTTCTGCTGGGACCACTGGTTTATTGTGGTTTCTTTCACTGGAAGAGGCAAGTGAGGTGGCAGTGCCTGTTGTTTGACATCAGCTGCAAACTTTGTCTCATTTCTGAAGTATTTTCTTGGAAAACAAGTTGAAACCTGGAGCCAAATACAATGGGGACATCAGCTACTGCCATGCAGCCATTGCACCTGGGCTGAAAAGTGGTGACTGTAAGGTAGTTCTATGTAATAAAGGCTGACTTGAAGTTAAATTAAAATAAATACATTGTCAGCTTTAGTTTTGGTACTGGTGTCAGAATATCTAAGAAGCCCAAACAGTTCTTCATATGTGCCAAGAACTCCTCAGCAACATTGTAAAATAAAACAAGGTGTCTTCTTAGGATTCCAGATGATCTATAACCCCCCCCATATTTTAGAGAAATATGCTGTAAAGATTAATTGGCTTCATTGCTTACTGCTTTTACTATTTTTAATACACATTGCTCCTTCTCTATTTAAAAAGAAAATGGACCATGACAAAAGATGCCTTTTAGATCCTTGATCATCTAATGAAAGAATCCCAGATAACTCTTCTGCTCTCCTCTCTCTGACACATCAGTATTCCAAGTTAAAAAAAATCAGTTTACTGCCCTGCTTTGAGGCCACCCTGAAATTTAGCATCTCTTGTTAGGTGGGAGTGTGGGATTATATCTCAGATAGAGGAGGGAAATGGAGTTTTTCCTCATAAGAATGCTGATCATTGAGGTCTTGAACAGGAGAAAAGAGTTGTGATCATATTCTTAGCTGTACCTTGACAGTGAAAGTTAGGAAGGAAGTTAGGAGTTTTCCTAAGAAAACTTCATCCATCTCAAAACTTGAGACTGTTTCAAGGGGGATGGAGATGGGAAATGTGTGAACACCAGAGAGCTGTGATGATAACATAAGTGCTGAACTGCCCAGTGGCATCAGGCACACCAGACATACTCAAAAAAGAGCCCTGTGCACATGAAAATACATTAGAGAACTTTATGAACATCATCAGGTGCTTGTGAGGTGGGGCAGAGGCTTGTGATGGTGCTGCCTGATCATGTTCACTGGTGTGACTCCAACTCAGCTCCGGAAATCCAAAGGTCAGCAGCATCAAAATAAAACCTCACTGATGCATAACAGCAAAGGCTGAGCTTGCCTAATGCCCCCTGTGCTCCAAGGCACCCAAACCAGTCCTGATGCAGAGGGCTGAAATTAAACCACCAAAATCTGTGACTGGTCACGCTCCAGCCAAAGGAAATTTGACCTGTCTGAGATGGTTGATGTAATTTTCCATCTCCAGAGGAAGTTGGAAACTGGTGTAGGTTTCTTTACTGGTTTTGTTTAAATCACAGTTAATTTTTTTTTCTCCAAAATTCTGTTTGTTTGCATTTAATAGAGTGCAATATGAAGTGATATTGTTATTAGAAGGTGCCACTGTTACTGTGATGATGGACCTTTGCTGTAGAATAAAATGCCAAACCCAGTGACTCACTTGAGATACAAGAAGAGTAAAAGCCAGAGGTTTTAAATTTTAAAACCAGAGGTTTTAATTTTTTCCCCCTTCCCTGTAAAGGAAATAATTGTTCTTACAAAACACTCATTTTTTTGAACTGAGTGTAGAAGTTTACAGAGTCCTGCTGGTGACAGGCCAGCTTTGAGAAAAGTCCTGGCACTGTGGGTGCCTGTGCAGGGCTGGAGTTGATTAGGTGTCTGGGAGAATGCCCAGACAGGGCCACACTGGTATTGCAGGCTTGGCTTTTCTTTTCTTTTCTTGCTCATTTCCCAGCTATTCTGACAACTCATACAAGCACCATTGCACTGGTGGAAATTGGTCAGCAAGATGCTTTCTGCCCCATATGTCTTCACCACCCAGGGTGGGTGTAGAGGTGTGCTTAAAGTGAGTTTTCCCAACAAACTCCTGTACAGGGGTTAAAAACTCCCTGGATTTGCTGATCAAGGCACCTGATGAGCTGTGAAGGAGTGTGGCAGCTCCCCAGACACTTGATGTTTTTGAAAACCCACTTCTGTCTGGCTTCCTGACACCAGGTGTCACAGGCCAGTGCCCCTCAGTTTGTGTGGGGAGAGACCAGCAAGAAAGATGTGGGTGAGCAGCTGGAAGAGCTCACTCAGAAACTGTCATTTCATAGCATTTTAAAATGGTTTGGGTTGTATGGGACCATAAAATCATCCAGTGCCACCCCTGCCATGGCAGGGACATGTTACACTATCCCAGGTTGCTCCAAGCCCCATCCAACCTGGCCTTGAACACTGCCAGGGATTGGACAGCCACAGCTTCTCTGGGCACCCTGTGCCAGGGCCTGCCCACCCTCACAGGAAAGAATTTCTTCCTCATATCCACTCTAAATCTACACTCTGTCAGTGTTTGGTATCTCTAATTGGACTTTCTTGAAGAGTGGTTTGAGTTATGTTTCCAAGGGCCCAATGATAAATTAAATTTTGCTTCTAGTAAATAACCTCTCCAAGCAACTCCAGCCAGTCCCATTTTACAGAGTGCTCTGCAGCATTAAGTGAAGCCCTTGCCTGAAAATGATTAATCCTGTAGGGTTTTCAAAATGCTAGCAAATCCTCAGGTTGCTGGATTTACAGGGGGAAAAAAATCCAACCCAGAAAAAATCAACCAAACAAACATAAACACATTGGTCACTGCAATATGACCTAGTTATTTTTTCATTTCTGATGAACTCTGTTCATGGTTGTTGGATAAACTTCATGTTCATCATACTGAAATCATTTTGCAGGCCCCCAAGGAATTAAGAACAGGCGTTAGGTAACGAGCTAAATTAGATGAAAACCAATCCAGATTCACTGTGGGATCACTCATGTGCACACAATGCAGAGTGTTCAAACACAGTCTGGTGCTGTTAAGAGATTTGTTTTCCTTGTGTTTATCTCCCTATGCCAAGTGTAGGCTATTAAAGCTTGGATTTCCTGAGCCAATAGCAAGAATCATTTTTATTCTCAGTGACTTTGGATTAAAAGGATTGGCACATGTACTCTCTTGTGCAGAGTGGACACACACTGGGCTCCAGGCACACCTCCTGCAAACTCTTTTTGTGGAGACTTCATTGCTATTCTGTTAATACAGTCAAGGCACACAACTCTCAGGCTCTTAAGCACACATTGCTGACCTCAAATGTGTGAATTTCCCCTTCAGTGTTCACTGTGTGGTGGTGCACATGACCTGTACCTGGTTGTGCCTTCAGAACTAGTTTTGGTTTAATTTTTTTATTAAACTGGTCCATGATGGGTGCAGTCTGTGCAATCTGCTTTGGGTGAGAGGGTTTTTCACAAAGACAAAATCACTGCTTAGCAGATTTTTAGGGTTAAACAGCAGCATTTAATGCAGTTATCTTTTTAGACTCAGGTGTTATCTGTAGTATGGCAACAATGATGGCAAAATATGTATTGTATACATATATATATATATATATATATATATATATATATATATATATATATATATAATGATCCATTCTGGGACCCCTCCTCCTTGCATCCAGCACTTAACCTGTGCAACCAGGACAGAAACAAGCTGCTCCTGCCTGTGCAGCACCTGTGTGGTCAAGGACTGCTTTGAAAGGCATCATTGTTGTTGGTTTTATCTCCCCATAGGTTCTCAGCATGGTGATCAATGCAGCTTACAAGCCAGGGAGTGTTTTACGAGAACTGCAGCTTGTGGAAGACCCTCAGTGGAATTTCCAGGAGGAAACACTTAAAGCAAAGTAAGTCTTCAACCTGTGTTCTTTTATTTGGGAGGTATCAGAAAGGAAACTGACTGGGGAAAAAAAATATAAGAAATGTTTTTTTTTTTTACTTTTCTAATTATAGTTTTGCTTCATTGAATTATTTGACTCATTCGTAGCAACTTCAGAAATGAAATATTCACCTGAACAGTTCATTTCTTTTGTCTTTCTCCAAGCAGCCATCCAGTTTTTGATGAAGTCAAGTCCTGAGTTTTATGATAAGCTGTTCTTATAAGCTTGGCTATTACTGAATGAACTAAATTCCTGGCTTTCTAGATGGAGGACTATGGCTGCTTTTAAATTAGAGCCCGTCAGGGTAGTGCAGAAAAAACTGGTGAGAATGAATGGCACCAAAAAAAGTTCAAACAGATTAGCAGGGACACATTTTTTAACAGGAGTGTGATTAGGGCAAAGTAGTAACAGATCAGAGATTCAGGTCAAGATTTGATGCCTTTCTAGAATATATTCTTCAATTATCTTCTAAACAGCACAAAAGAATACTGAATTCCTCCTTCCAGCATTAAAATCTACCTGTTTATGTCTTCTTTATGTAATGGGCACTATACTTTGGATGTGTTTCAACAATTGTTGTCTCTCTGAAAAAGAGGAGTCTTACCTAAGCTCTCTCCAGAGTCCTTCTGAAGAATAATTCTTCCCACTTGAAGATGGATCTCAATATTTCTTTGAAGAAAGCTTTCTTTGTTGACTAATGGTCACCTTGACTTTTTAAGTACTGTAGTTAAATGCAGTGAATCTCACCCTTTGTAGTGAACTCTGTGACTCCTTTTCAAAGAAAAGCAATTTTCTCTTGGTTATTTGATATAAATAGCTGCCAAACACAGCACTATTGATGGCTACTGTATTTGCTCTTTGCCCATGCAGATATTGCAGAGAGTTCATGTGTTCTCTGGTTGAGGGAGGGAGTTGAGAAACTTTTACTCTCTGTACACTTAAACTGCTTTCTTGTAAAGAGGATTGCAAACTGAAATGAAAATCTACTAAAAACATCCTATTTTTAATTTTCTGCTTTCACCCATGTAGAATGCCAGGCTTTTGTGTTTGTTGTGGATGGAAGTCTAAAAGTCAACTTTTTCATGCAGATTTTAATTTAAAACAGGTCTTTGTCCATGACCTGGCTTTCATTGATTCCAGGATCCCACATCTTGTGCTACAAATATCAGATAATTCACTCCTGCAGGTACTTAGCAGTTGTAAAATCAAGTTATAATGCCCTTTATTACTTAACACCCTCTCCTGCAAGGAACTGAGCTTACAGGCACTTTTCCTGTTAGCAGTATCCTGAGTAGGATTTTGTTAGGGTTTCCCATTTGAGTGTGGGGATCTGCCTGGTGCAAAAGCAGAGATACCTATTTCTTAAGGCTGCTGCAATCCATATTTCTAATGGGAGACAGCCTGGGAAATGTTTAACTGACCATCCATGGTAGTATTTTAGTCACAGTCCATATTTGTGTTCCTGTGTGCTGGCTGTCCCATCAGGCATCCACCTCACTCTCCAGGGACTCAGGCAGCATCTTTCTGCTTTATTAAGCCACAGAAGGGACCATCACAGGCTCAGAGCCAGGACAGCAAGTTTTGAGGTGCTTTCTGAGGATTCTCCTCCAGTGTGGCATTGCCCTCTGGCTCCTGAGGAGACAAAGCTCGTGGGGCTGGACAGTGCCTGGTTCCTGCAGCTCTCTGGCTTCTGTGGCTGATCTTCTCACAGAGCAGTGCTTGGTGCTGGTGCCAGCTTGTCTGTGGGTAGTTTGAGTACTTCTAAGAGTGGATGGCAAAGGGTTGACATGCCCCAAGACTGTCTGGCTACCCTAGGACTTCCTTCTTCTTTTCCTTTTTAGTTTGCTTGAGTTGCTCCATCCAGAAGTTTTAATTGCATTAGGTTGTTCAGAAGCAAGAAAGAAAATACAGTCATGAAACCAGATACTGTGGAACATTCAAACAGCACATGACACCTTCCACCAGGTGTGACAGTGCTCCATAATCTTAAACAGAGACCTCTAATGAGAAACACAGGCCTGCAATGAGCAACTTCCAATCCATGGGCTCTGGATGGTGCCCGTTGCTAAGGGTGACAGCTCCAGAGCCAGCTGTGATGGGACACATCGTGTCACCTTCTTTCTGATGTGGGCTGGCACCTCCTTGGATCTTGGCAATGCTGTTTGTCTGCAGTGCCTGCAGCAGGGTACAGCAAAGGGATTGGTGAGGAGAAAGCTGCTTTTCCCACCATTCCAAAAGCCAGGTTTTGCACTGCCAGGAATGCTTTATCTCAGTCCTGGGGCAGCCTGTGTTTAGTTCACTCTGCTGCCATGAGTGACCACTGTGAAATCAATTACACTCACCTTGCAAGGAAGATAAAACAATTTAGATTGTCCAGAGAGATGTGTTTGCAGGGTGTGATGGCAGCTGCTTCCCATCAGTGCTGCTGGCTCTGTGTGAGAAGAGTCAAACCTGATTTATTGGTGATGATGAGTTAGAAATGTCAGCCTTGATCCTCCTGGGTTCCCATGAGGACCAGTTGAAGCTGTTGGCATTCAACCCTTATAGTTTTGATGCTCTTAAGTGCAGTGCCTACATCTTGATTTGCCTTCCCAATTTTACATAAAATGCTTAAGGGACTTCATGCTTTTCAAGGGGTTTCATTTCTAAGGGCTGATAATGGGGCTGTTTGGATTTACCCATTTTTGCAAGGCTTTGGACACAAACAAAAGCAGTGTGTGCACAAAGTTGTCTCCTGGGTCTTGTATGAAGCCCACTTGATCAAAATAATAAAGATGAGTATTCCTTGACTCCTTCATTAAATGAAATCCTGAGAGCTGCTCAAATCCAGTAGCTGAACTCCAGGAATATTTACCCCTATGCCAGACATCATTGCTTATTTATGAGGCAGCATTTCAAAGAAAGCCTTTTCACTGCAGCTGCTTTAGAAGACTGCCTTTAACTTGTGATAGGTGAGGTGTTTGAAATCTTCTTTGCCTCAGCCTTTGCTGGTGAGGGTTTGCTCTCAGGCTTCCCAGAGCCCTGATCCTGTTTGAGGGAGTGAAGTGTTACCCACAGTAGGTGGAAAAGAATCTAAAAACCCTGGGAGCAAGCTGGATGTGCACAAGTGCATGGAAGCAGTTGGGATGCAGCCAGCTCTGCCTGGGAGAACTGGCCAATGTCATTGCAAGGCCACTCGCTGGCGTGTTTGGAAGCTGATGAGGATGAGGGAAGAATCCTAATTTTTGGAAAAGACAGTTATCACACCCCTCCTTAGGAAGGACAAGAAAGAGGATCCAAGTAACAAGGCTCTCAGATTCATTTTCCTGGAAAGGTTATTAGCCAGATCCTCTTGGAAGCCATTTCTGAGAACATGCAGGACCAGTAGGGGACAGGCAAGAAGCAGAGGGCGAGTTGTGCCTGATGTGATGTGAGGTAACTGGTTTGGGGTTGAGGAAGAAGCAGTGGAAATTAATTTATGTTCATTTTGAGCAAGGCTTTACAAGCCAGGATCAGTGGAATTATTCAAACCTTTATTTCTCTAATCAGGAGACTCAATGAGACAAGGCCTTACAACCAGAGTATTCCAGTGCCCTTTCTGAATCCAGTGTTCAAGAGTACAAAATGCCACTGGAAGATTAAATAGCTTTGAAGGAAGTTAACTCCTTATGTTTGGCAGACTTTAAGGTAGACAGACAAAATAGAAATTTCTTACAAAGAATAGAAAGGAGTTTTCAGTCCCCCAAAAGGAAATTGAGACTTTTTAGTTGCTCAAATTCGTCTCAAGAATGTCAGAACACCTTAGAATGGGACTTTTGAAAATGAGGTTCTCAATGTTCTTGCTTTTTGAAGTTTTTCAGCAAAATACTTTCTGTGTCATCACACAGCAGTCCATTACTGGGGCTTCTGGAAGGCACTATGTTCTCCTGAGCCTCTAATGTATTTTAGGGAGCTTCAACAGAAGAATTATATTGCAAAGTGCTGTTCATTTAATACTTTTGCTCATGGATCAGCAAGTGTATTTTTCATGGAAATAGTTCCAGCCTTAAGGTTTTCTCTGAGTTTGGCATCTGAGGGCAGAGAAGGGGAAGAGGAAAGAAAGATTCCTTTGCCTTTAGCTGAAAAATAATTTTTTTAAAAACAACAGTGATTTCTAAGAAAACCAAAAATATTATCCTTGACACAGCAATTTTCCAAGTCTCCAGTGCTGCCATGCTGTGCATGTAGATATTTGCTGCTTGCAAGTGATTGAGAAGATAGGAACCCTGGTGTAAAAACATAAATAGGAGCATCAGTAGTTGGTAACTTTTTGAGAGATGCTAATGGAAAATGCTTTCTGACAAAGGAGCTCCTACATGGCTGTCCTAGAAACAGCTCAGATTACATTTGGTGGTGCATGTGTTAAAAATCTTTAGTGTGTGAGGAATATGGAAAATATTAGGAGAACCTGGTTTATAGTTGAAAGAGGTGCTGCCAAGACCAAAATGATGTAAAAAATATTGCTGTGGCCACTGCTAGCACCTTGGGTTATTGAGACTGATTGCTGCAGTCATGGAGATCTCCATTTTGCCATCCTCTCTGTTAATTAAAATGTGTGTTGCATTCAAAGCAGACGATGAAATCAGTCAGTTGTTCATTTTCCTAGTTTCATCTTTTCCTTTCAGCAGGCACTGCAGTACAATGGGTCCTTCCTGGGCAGCCAAACACAATAGGAAGCACACAGTTAGAAAAAGTCAGCCATCCTTGAATAATACCCATCAGGCAGCTTTCTTAGCTTATAAGAAAGAAGATCAAGAAGCAATTTGATTAGAGTGCTTTTGCAGGGAAACAAAACCAGATGCAGTCTTTTCATCCTAGTGCTGAAAGTCAGAACAAGGACAAATAAATGTGAGTTAAATTCAGATGCATCCAGACATAAAATGAGGTGTAGGTACAGGTGCTCCCTGTGCCGTGATTCTTCCAGTGGGGAGACCCTCGAGGCTGGTGCATGTCTGGAAGTGCTTGTTTAGTCCAAGCAGAGTTATTTGGGTCCAGGTGAAATCAGCACAGTGAAATCTCTGAGAGCAGACTCACTGACCAAATGATCCAGGCTGTCATTAAACTTCATGGCTCCTGGAGAAGTAATAAGTGCAGGAGTCTTTTCAAGCACATTGGAAATATAAAACTTTTATAAGTAGGTGCATTTAAATGCCTGTGGCATTTAGTGATTTTGGTACATCAGGTATTGCCAAACCCTGCTCAGCCAGCCTGCCTCTGCAGCTGTTTCATGGGGAAGCTGGGATCATAACAGTGCTCTGTACCTGAAGGGAATATTTTCCCTTTTACATCATCTGGCCAGGTCTTTAAGGCCAGGTGTGAAAAGGTGGCTCATGAAGTCATTCATGCATTCAGGTGAATGAATCCAGGATTGTCCTGGCACCAAAAGGGGTATCAGAGCCTGGCACCTTGCAGGAATGCTCATTCAGGTTTTATGCTGAGGTGATAATTTGGATTGCGACCTGAGTCCCATGGTTGGACTGGGCTGTTCTCAGACCCAAGTTTCATTTGGGTTTCCCCTTTATATCACTTAATGTGCCAGTTTCAAACCCTTTTCCCACACCTCTTTGTTTCAGAAAGAGCTGTCTGAATGTTTTAACTCTCTGGTCACATCTTTATTCCACCACCTCCTCCTCTTCCTCTCCCATATCTATCAGCAGCTGCTAGGAAACTGCAGATCTTAATACACTGACAAATGCTTTGTTTCATTTCTCCTGGTGACTCTCTTTCCTTGCCTCCCATCCAGTAATCTTTCTTCCACCGTTGTTCCCTGTTTTTCTTTGGTTATGTGTTGCTTTTCCCTCCTCTGAGCACATTTGTAATGCCAGCACCGGGCTCTGGCACTGTTGCATTCCTCAGGATACATAAGAGATGTTTTAAAAACCTTATCGCACTCTTTACAACAGCTTGCTGCTGCTGTTTAATAAATTACAGGGATAATTGGTTTTCCAGGGTTCACGTCTACAATGTAGTACAGCAGGGATGTAACTGTATCTTTCTCAGCCATTTATCTCTCAGAAACACTTCATATGAAACACCGAAATAAATGTTTTAGTGGCGTAGCAAATTTAAGACAAACCTTTCATTGCAGGTTTCTGCTCCAAGCATTCCCTGCAGGAATCAGTTTTTAGGACCTGTTGCTGCAGCCCTGTTAAATAACTCCAGAGACTCCTGATGAGTTCCTCGGGTTTTGTAGTGCCCACATCTCAGAGTGGTCAAGTCATCTGGTCCTGGGGTGGCAGAGATTGTTGTTTCACACAGATACTTCTTCACAATGAGTGTGTCCTGATAGCCACAGCTGGCACCATGAGTCTTGGGGATTGCTGGGAGCTGGAACATGATATGGGAGCAGGAAAGATGGCAGTGGAGAAAACCAAAGTGCACTGAGGGCTTAGAGAGTTCAGTCCAAACACAGGGTGGTGACCAGATGTCACCAGGTGTCAATATATGAAGAGACACTGCATCCCTCTCCCAAAACCTTTGCATCAGTTCACAATAAGGGCTTGCTGGCTGTCCTGTGCAGTATCCTCACCAAGCCTACTGAGATTCATGTCCACACCTTCAATTTATTCCACCCTTTCCTTCCTTGAGTCCATCTGAAATGGAGCCACTAAAAAAAGCAGACACCTGTTCTGCCTGCATTCTCAAGAGAGACACTCTCCCAAAAGTCCCTGGGGAGGATCTCTCCCTGGCAGAGGAGGGTCTGGTCTGCAGCCCCACAGGATTTTGCTGGATGGGTCATGTGGGGTCCTGTGCTGCTCCCCAGGTACAGGGGGAAGACGTACAGGGCGACGGTGAAGATCGTGCGCACGTCGGACCAGGTGGCAGATTTCTGCAGGAGGGTCTGTGCCAAGCTCGAGTGCTGCCCCAACCTCTTCAGCCCTGTGCTGGTGGCTGAAGTCTGCCCTGAGAACTGCTCCATCCATACCAAAACCAAGTACAGTGAGTATTGGGGAAATGCCTCTTGGTGCTGGCTGGGAACCAGAGAAGTGGGAGGTGGTGTGTGGTGAAGAACAGGAGTTGTGTGATATGCTAATACTGATGAGGATTCATCTCATCTAAGAGCAGTTATTCAATCCTGAGGCCACCACAGGTTCCCTTAGAACCCTGTACCAGAAAACTGTCCCTCTCACTCCATCCTAATGCATCTGTTTGGTGGTGTGTGGTGAAGAGCAGGAGTTGTGTGATATGTTAATACTGATGAGGATTCATCTCACCTAAGGGCAATTATTTAATCCTGAGGCCACCACAAGTTCCCTTAGAATCATGTACCAGGAAACTGTCCCTCTCACTGCATCCTAATGCATCTGTTTGAGCATCATCACTTTTTGGAAGTCTTGAATTTTCTTCATATCTAAAGTTAACACAAGGAGTACATAAAAGGAACCTGCAGTGGGAAGCTGAGATTTTAACTTGCTGCATCTGAGACAGCTTTGTTAGGTAAGATGAATCCTCCTTGTAGAGTTTCTGGCATGCACACCAGCACAGAACCACAGTGCTGAGGTGCTGGAAGGTTTGAACACTGACTCTACTCAGAGTGTTTGATATTTAAACATGATCCTGTCTGTTCAGGAAGGTTGTTGTTAGCGTTCAGTGCTTTTTTTGTTATCAATATTATTGGTATTATTGGCTCTCAAACAGGTCAGGAAAGTGGAAGTGAGTGTTGTCCTTCTTCCACAAAGGTTGCAAAAAGCAGTGTAATTGATCTAAAGCAATTCTCTTGAGTTTGGTGCCGGTAGAAGGAGGAACACACTCAGGGGGATTCTGAGATCCCTGGGATGGGTTTCTGTAGAAATCTACACCTGGGCTGGAGTCTTGGCTCCCACTGGTAGCAAATGGAGAGCTGGAGGATCTCCAGATGAGCTTGTCCCATCTCAAAGTTGGTGGTTTATGTGACTGGATGAATTTTTCCTCAGAAATCCATTGATTTGCTGAAAGGCTCAGTTCGGCTATGAACTTTGCCATGGGTGCCAAGGGCCGTTTTAGTTGTCCTGGAATACCCTTGCTAGTCAAGGACAGTGTCTTCCATCCCCAGAGTGTGTCAAAAGGCATTTAATACAAACATTTAATGTAAGGTCAGAGGACTTAATTTCAACCTGGACCACAAAATAGTTAAATTAATAAAAACCCATTCCTTTGTACATGACTGCAGCTAGCTGGCCCTCTCCCCTCTCTGCTGAAAACTTTAGCAATTTTACCTCACACAGAACTGTGTTGGATCAAATCTGGAACTTGTTGGCCTCTTTCCCTCCAAATCACTGCTCAGCTCTGCCTGAACACATTGTCAAATTCTGAAGTCTTCATTCATCATCAATAAATCTGGATACATAAGAGCTGTAACACTCTGTGCTAGTCCAACATGACCTATTTATGCTGTACTTTTTTTTTTTCCCCAAGTCAATGTATTTTAAAGTTTAAATTGCACTTAGAGTACGTTCCTGAAACTGTAGCAAGGAGCAAGCCAAGGTTCCCTTCTTTGGGTGGTTAAAGTTTTTAATGGGCATTGTGCTTCTTTTCTCCAGCTTATTATTACGGGAAGAGGAAAAAAATCATTAAGCCACCAATTGGGGAAAATAACAACATGAAAGGTGGCCATGTCAAGCCAGCCAGACGCAGAAAGAGGCGGAAATCCATCTTTGTGCAGAAGAAAAGGAGATCATCAGCTGTGGATTCCAATGCTGCAGGCTCTGCAGAGGTTTGTGTCACTCTGGATAAATCAGCAAAAACCCCTTGGTGCCTTCTGCATTTTCCTTTTGTGGGGCTTCTCAGCACACCTGAGCACTTCCAGTTTCTATTTTGGATCCTTCCTTGCTGCTCTGTTGTTCTAAGATCAGTCTGGTTTCTTGGGGCACTTTGGGGATTTTTACCTTGTCCATTTCAGAAGTAGCAAGCAGATTTTTTGCTCCCACCTTTCCAATGCTTACTCATCTCTTTATTTCATTTCCTTCCTTAAAAGCAGGCAGATGAGCCTGTTGGATGCTTTGCACAGCATTTAGCAGAGTGAAGGAGCTCTGTGATCCATGTCTAAGGTCTCCAAGTATTGTAATCAATAATAATAGCTCATAGCCATTGTGGTTTCAAGGAATTTTATATATTGTTTTTAACTATTCCTAATTTTTTTGGTTCCTAACATCAAGGCTTAGCATACAAGCAAATGGTTTGTGTCCCAAATACATGGAATTTGAGGGCTTAGTCTTTTCAGTTTGCTGTGTGATAGAACAGGTTCTGAGCTCAGCAAAGATTCATGTCCAAATTAAACCTGGAATAGACTTAGCTCTGTATGGGCTGTTTTCTGGAGGCTTTTCCCATGGTGACAATAACAGAGCTCATGTGTGGTTTCCCTTCCTCAGCTGAGTGCCAGTGATTGCTGCTTTGTGCAATGTGAAAAAAAATTCCCTGCACTTCAGCTAGAGTAGGTTATTTTATTCAGCTTTCAGTTGATTGCCTGCATCTTCATGGCTTGGTCCTCATTTAGGTGTAGTTCTGCTTCATTTCCTTAGATTATACCTGCTTCAAAGGAACTTAAACTTATGTTGAGCCTAAATCAACCATTAGCCAAGTTTTTCAACCTTTCAGCCAATACAACTATCTTTGTCGAAATTGCTCTTTCACTCAAGACCTGAGCACATGGCTTTGGGTGCCTGCTCACACTTGGATCATAGATAAGCTGTCAAAGCCATTTGGGCTGGTTATATATATATAAAGTCCAAAATGCACAGTTTCCATCAGTGGTGAGTGCTTGTAAAGCCCTGTGTGACAGAAATAACAAGAATCTGATATAATACTTCAAATGGAACTTAGGGCTTCACCTCCAGCAGTTCTGTGTTGGGCTGAAAGCAGGGAAATCTGGGTGAAATCCTCTGTCCTGAGTTTTGCAGAAATGTCACTAAAAACGTGCTACCTTGAACATCTAGCCATTTTCAAAAGGCACCAAAATTTCCCTTTTTTCAGGAGCAGTAACACCCAAACCAATTTGAATCAATGTGAAAGTTTAAAGTCAAGTTTCTGATTTTACTTCCTCTCAGTCAGCCTGAATTTAATTGCATGCTCGTAGTATTTTCCGTTTCTCCTCCTGCACATCAACAGTGCTGCAAGTTTTGAGATACCAACCCAGGATAGGAACATTTCATGCCAGATGATGAGGCATTGCTGTTGACCTTTAGTAATGTACCTTTGCTGGGTTTCAGGGTGTCCCCAGCAGGCTGCAGGGTCCGGATAGCTCAGTCCTGTTTGGGACAGACTGTCTGAGTTCCCAAGCAGTGCTCAACCACAGGCAACCTTAGCAAGCTTAAGGGATATCAGCTCTTTAGTGATTATCAGCTCTTTATGATTCCAGCCCTTCAGCTCGCATGTGCCTGGGTTGGGAGAGAGAAGAGAAGGCTGTTTGGAGTTCCACACTGCTGTCTTTATTGAATCTTCTGGGAAGGGTTCCAGTGACAGATCTTCTACCAGAACCAGGCTAAAACAGCCCTTTATATAGGGTACAGGGGGATCAGAAGTGGTTCAATGGCAAGGGTTAAAGGAAAGTGACCTGTAGGGTTACAGAGGGGTTCCAAAAGGCAGAAGAGGGGCTTCTAGCCTGTTCACCATGACTTGGCATTTCCTATCTTTAGGCTTCTGCTCACTATGGTGCCCTTGCAGACCCATGGCCTGCTACGCTTTAGTTGGGAGGAGAAAAAGAATTTCCTGCCATACACTTTTTCTTCTTCTGCATTTTGTAACAAACCTAAATGGAGGGCTAATTCACTTAGCACTGTAACAAAAACTAGATAATTCAGTTAAAACAAATGTTACCCCAGACCAGCACAGTCATGGGCGTGCAGTCTGGCCCCATCCATGCCTTTGGATTTGCTGCTGTGTCCATCTCCCAGGTGCTGTTTGAAATAAACACAGGCAGGAGACTTTTCTCCTTTTTAACGCCTTTATTAAAAGTGATCAGCTCGGGTGGGGAGAACCGATGGGTCCGCACTCACACTGCTGCTGCCTCCCAGGAGTGACTCAGAGGAGGAGGAAGAGGAACAGTGCAGCTGTGTCCACTGCTCTGTGGGCAGAGCTGGGGGTTCCATCCACATGAGAGCATCGGGAAATCCCTTGTTCGCTTTCTTGGTGTGACCTTCAGAGTCCTGCCTCTAGCCGAGGTCCTCCTTGGCTAGGGCAAGGGGCAAAAAAGGGTCGCAGCGTCTCTGCAGGCTCTGGGCTTTGTTCCTCACGTCCAGACATCACTTTGATCTCTTAATTCTGTGTTGGCTCATTGTTTTAGGGGTCTCTTTGGTAAGTTTGGTGGGGTGGCTTTCCCGTGGCATGCTGGCTCCGAGGTCATTTGCATTCCCTCCTTTCAGTGTTTGAGAAGGGTCATCCACCTGGCAGCAGGCAGGGTGGTACTGACAAAAAGGGGAATTCTCAACAATAGGGAGTTTGTGGCAGTGTTCACAGGGGTCTTATGTTGAGGGAAGAGACGAGGATCTGACTCCATATTTCAGAAGGCTTGATTTATTCTTTTATGATATATATTGCATTAAAACTATACTGAAAGAGTAGAAGAAAAGGTTTCATCTCAGAAGGCTAGCTAAGCTAAGAATAGAAAAGAAAGAATAACAAAGGTTTGTGGCTCGGACAGAGAGCCGAGCCAGCTGGGCTGTGATTGGCCATTAATTAGAAACATCCAAGATGGGGCAATCAAAGATCCATCCACCTGTTGCATTCCATAGCAGCAGATAACCATTGTTTACATTTTGTTCCTGAGGCCTCTCAGCTTCTCAGGAGGAAAAATCCTAAAGAAAGGATTTTTTATAAAAGCTATCTGCGACAGGAGTTAGTGACCGACTCTTAACAGGTGATTACAACATAAAGTTAACATAAAGTTAACAAAGAACTCTCCTCTGCCAGCAGCCAGCTCAACTTGTAACTCCACAACCTTTTAAAAAAATGGGCAACCTTTTTTTACTGGTAACACTCTTTGTGGTGCAGGAGAGCGAGGAGGACGAGGCGGACGCGATGGAGGACGAGACGGGCAGCGAGGAGACGAGCTCGGAGCTGCGCGACGACCAGACGGACACGTCCTCGGCCGAGGTGCCCTCTGCCCGGCCCCGCAGAGCCGTCACCCTGCGCGCCAGCGCCGAGCTGGACAGGCCCCCTGTCCCCGAGAGAGCCCGCCGCAGCCGCAGGGCCCAGCCCCACTCCGGCAGCGAGGCCGACAAGGGCACGCCAGCCAAGGAGGTGAGCGTGTGTTTCGTAGCACAGTTCATCCTAAATTGACCTTCAGTGCTGAAATAAACAGGGCAGGAGACCTTTCTCCTTTATAATGCCTTTATTAAAAGTGATCAGCTCGGCTGGGGAGAACCAACGGGTCCACACTCATGCCGTCGCTGCTGCTCCCAGGAGTGACTGGAGGAGGAGGAATAGTGAGTGCAGCTTTGTCCACTGCTCTGTGGGCAGAGCTGGGGGTTCCATCCTCACGAGACCATTGGGAAATTCCCTTGTTTTTCAGTTCATCATTCGAGGTCCTCTGTGTAGCGACATCCTTTTAGGTTAGGATGAGGTGTAAAAAGGCCTTGGCGGATGCTAGATTCCATTCCTCACATGTAGTCATCACTTTGATTTGTCAATTTTGTGTTGGCTCATTGTTTTAGGGGTTTTTGGCTAGGTTTGGTCAGGGGTCCCTCCTGTTGCATGCTGGATCCGATGACATTTGCATGCTAATTCCAATGTCCCTTCCTCTTCACCGTCTGGGTATCATCCTCTAGGAAGCAGCAGGGTGTCACTTGACAAAAGGGAGAATTCTTAACCATCACCAACAGACAGTTAAGAAAAATGACAGGTGATTACAGCAACGGTTAGAACTCCACCCTGGCAGCAACTGGCCCAACCTGTGAACTCTCCAACATTTTAAACAATATGGGCAGCTGTTCTACTCATTGCAAGTGCCAAGCTTTGCTGCTCTGAGGAGGGCAGCCCTGCCCTGGTTCTCCACTGCTGGACATCCCTCTGGATGGCTCAAGCCCCTACCAGGGGGCTCAGAGACCCTGGCACAGAGCCCAAGACCCCCCTGTGACTTTGATTTTGACCCATAGAAAAAATTACCAACCTTATATGAGGATCTGCAAGCCACAAGAGTTTAAGTAGAATGATAGTTAGTTAGTCATGGGATGAAAAGTAGAATTTTGGGGTTTTTAGAATGGGGGCTTGGGGTCCCAAGATGGAGGAATTTGGGTGTGCCTTGTCCTTCTCCTCCTTCTTCCTAGCCTCCATCTTCTGGGTGATGGTGGCACTTTTGGATTGGTTTAGGGTAGAGGCGGACAGTCTAACATAGGTGATAGGTATTGGAAAATTATTGTAAATAAAGTACACATAGTTTTCAGTATGAAAAGATAACACCACCCTGAAGGTGGGGAGTGTGCCACTGGCTGACCTGCTGAACAGACTCAGCAGGCCAGGAAAAGAATGTTATAAGTAACAGAGAATAAACAACCTTGAAAACCAGAACAGAAGAATCCTGACTCCTTTGGTTGCTGGGCTGGGAGAAGAGACTCTGACACATCTTGGGGTCATCCTGACCACAGAGACCCCGAGACTCCACAGGATGTAGTTTGCTTTATACCTTGAGCCAAGAATGACACAAGAACAGGTGGGAGACCCAATTGCAAGAGGAGAAAAGGAGGCCTTATTACAAAGGTTTCTTCAGGTTTTATAGACCAATAGGATACATTCCACTTGATTGGCTAGTTAATAAAAAACACCTTTCTCACACACCGTCCTGGAGAAGAACAGGAAAACAAAGTGAAAAAACACCACCTGCAGATTGTTTGTACTAACAGGTTATCACATTCTTACTACTCCCTAAAAATTCTCACAGGCCACTGGGAGAAACAATTGCCATTTCTCTCTCCCTGACTGGCTGGCATCCACATGATGAAAACCTTTCTTTGTTATTTTTTTCCCTTACAGGAAATTAAGCCAGAAGAGGAAGAGAAGCTCGTCCTGGACAGTAACCCACTCGAGTGGACTGTGACTGATGTTGTGAGGTTTATTAAACTCACTGACTGTGCACCCCTTGCCAAAATATTTCAGGAGCAGGTAGAAGTCCTTTTGTCACTTGTCCCTTTGTGTCTGTGGTGCCTGTTCATGTTACAGGACATCCCACCTTGCTGGCTGGGCTTGGGGCTTTGGTACAGAGACTGTGACCAGACTTCAGGTCCATCAGGCCAGGTTATAACACCAATTTTGGCAAGGCATGAAAACCCTTAGAAACTTGAGTCAGAACCTTGCCAGATCCTCAGAGAGTCCAGAAACTCAACAGCCTTGTGAAAAACCCTTGTGGAAAGCAGGAGGTTCAGTCCTTTCATGCCAAGGTCCACGGTGCCATACTGATGTCCAATAGGTAGGAACCTCAATGTAAAAAGAGGTCTTGGTTACCTGGTACACACCAGGCTTTCTCCACCCAGATGGGTTCCATCCTGTTCTAAAATACTAGCCTGGGAAGCAGAAAAGTGCTGCTTGAAGCCCAAACTGGCTGTCTAAATTTTGCCATTAACACCTAGATGTCCAAAGTGCGTAGACACCTAATTACTGACTACGTTCCTCTGAAGATATGCCAGTCAGGCCTTGGATGACCCAAATTTAGGAGATGCCAGTCTTCTCCCCATTAGGCAGATAGGTTTGCAGGAGCAGAAGGCAATGTTCTTCATCTCAAGCCAGTGTGAGTGTGTACAGTTTATGTGGAAAGAGCCATTCCTTGGCAAATGAGTCGCAGCCACTGCCGAGGGTAAAGGGCAGCACTAACGAGCTGTAGTTAGGGAAAAACAAGTGTAGTTAATTAGTCAGTGGTGTGGCCAGCTGCTCATTGAGCTGTCTCTGATTCTTCACCATGGATGACTCCAGCTGCTGTGGCTGGGAGAAGGTGGAGGGTGAGTCTGGAGCGAGTGGAACTCCCCAGAGCAGGATGCTGCAGTTGCTGTGTCACAGCGAGCTCCAGCCATTTGTTAACCAGCCTGGAGCAACGCCAGGGCTTGGAAGCCAACCCTGTCTCTCCTTTGCCAGAGGGTTTTACAGTGGCTTGAATCAAACACAGATGACTGGAGCTTTGCCTTGTGAAGCCCTGGTGCAATGGTCTGTGCCATGAACCTTCAGTGGGGGATGGACCTGAGCTGTGGACAGTCTGATCAAAGCAGCACTTCAGGTGTCTAAATCCTCCTTGTGTTCAATGCTGCCTAATCAGGGCTGTCCTGGGGAGTTCATGTTGGGTGTGAGTTGCTGTGCATAGACTCTGATGCTCCCTAAAGGGTTAAAATCAGTTTTGTGGCCTGATATCTCAGTCTATTAAAGAATAAAGAGAGCTTGAGCTCTTTATTAAGAAGAGGATCATAAAGCCAGCAGAGGTTCCCAATAAAAGGGCTCATCCAGGGTACTGGTTTATGGGCTTTGGTGCATAGTTATGCTTGAGGGGAAGACCTGCAGAGATCCTTTGCAGCCTACACCATTCTGGGATTGTGGGATATTAGAGATTGCAAGGGCTTTGGGTGGTCCAGGCCCCTCTCTTGGTCATGCAGCAGTAGAACAAGGCAGGTCCTGGGTGTACCTGGTACAGGGCATGGAGCAAGGCAGACATAAACCTGTGCTGAGCAAATCCTGGCCAGAGGAGATGGGGAAAGGTTCAGACTTGGCAGTGGGACAGCATCAGTTTCTCCATTCAGCTCCCTCCTGTGTCTCCTGGTGTCTCTCTGCAGCCTGTCCCCTGTTTCAGTTCCTCAGGCATAAAATGAACTGACCAGGTCTCTGTTGGCTCTGCAGAGGTTCTGCAGGTGATCCCTCATTTCAGCAGCTGGGAGGCTTTTCCCAAGCCGGGGTTAAGGTGATAACCTGTGAAGAGACACTAGACAACTTCTGAAAAATCATGTTGTGTCTCAGGGAAAGGAGATGGGCTGTGTCAAAGTGGGAGAAAAAAGCAGAGGATAAAAGAACTTAATTTTTAGGGCAAACTGCCCTTCTTGTTCCTCCAAACTTGCTTATGCATTCTGCCCTCCAGAGTCCTCAACAAACCCATTTTCCCTGTGTTTCTCTCCCCAGGACATCGATGGCCAGGCCCTCCTGTTGCTGACTCTGCCCACGGTGCAGGAGTGCATGGAGCTGAAGCTGGGCCCAGCCATCAAACTGTGCCACCAGATCGAGAGAGTCAAAGTTGCTTTCTATGCACAATATGCCAACTGACTGCACTTCTGCATTCCTCCTTGTCCCCCTCCTTGTTCCTTTTTTTACCATTTCAGCTTGTTCAAGGGGTTTTCTTCCCCCATATCCTTTTTCTTTTCTGGGAACAAGTGGAATTGGAAGCACTGGGAGCAATCCATAGGGGGAAGAAAAACAAACACAAGAAGAAACGAGCTACAAATGGAACTAACTTTTCTGTACTTGTAAAGCACATGGAAAGACTGCTGGCATCTCTCCTCGTGAGCCTGTCCAACCCATTGCCCAGTGGTGCAAGGCCAGCATGGATCAGGTGATTTGTCACCAAACCAAACCTACCAGTGGCAGACACATTCCCAAGGAGAAGGGTCAGACATTTCCAGGTGGTCATGGTTTGTCTAGGACAATTTCTGGACATGAACATTTCTTTTAGACAGCTCTGACACTCTTCTTTCATATTGAAATGTAAGTCATCATTTGTAGCATTACCTGGGGTTTAACTGCAAGTTGGATCTTGGTGATCTTGCAGTGATCTTTTTTTTTTCCTTCCACCTCTCTGGTTTTACAAAAGGAAAATTGTTACACCAGGCATATAATGGTTATTCCTGACTTAATTTTGAAAGGGGACTCAACCCATGGTCTCTGTGATACCAGACAAAATTGCAGTGGATTGACAGAGGTGACACAAGACCTGATGGGGCAGCAGCACACCCTGAGCCACGCTGGCTCTGCACAATCAGCTGAATATCTCTGTGGTGGGATCTGTACAGTGCTCCATTCTTTACAGCAACATGAAGGCTTTCATTGTCAAAATCTTAACTCCAAGTCAATTTAAAGACCTGTCTTTGAGCCATAAGGTGACAGCAGACTGGGATGAGGGACTCTGCTGACCCCTGTGCTCCGAAGATCCTACTGACCAACACCAGGCTGCAGCTGCTGCATTCTCCTTCACTGCTTTCCTTCTTAAATTCTTTGGAGAAGAGGGAGGGCCTTCAGATATAAATACTCTGGAATACATCCAGATCTTGCCCAGAGGGTGTTTTAGTCAAGAAGCTTTGCCTCTGCCATGCATCACTTGGGAGTTCCTGGCTTGCCTTTCAGCAAGTTTCCTGATTTGTCACTGAGGAATGGGATTGGTGCAACTGCTGCAGGCTGGACCAGATGCTGAGACTTCATCAGAAATGTTCTTACATGGGAGATGAGCAGGACTGGATCTGTTCTCCACTGTTGCTTTGTTCTGAATATCTTCTTCAAGTTTTAATTGGTTCAAGGCAGTATTGGTTGCCTCTGCATCAAATGCTGGGGTTTGGTTCTTCAGAAATCCAGAAACAGGGTTCTTTAGTGGGGCAGATGTTAAAAAAAATGGGGTTTAGACTGGATTTCCTGCTGATAGTGAAATCAGAGTGACTGATTTGGTAACTACTTTGGATCCCTCTCAGGGTCCCCTGACAGTGTTGCTCAGTGTTTCACCTGTGAAGACAGAAGGATTGCACCCAGCAAGGTGAGAGAACAGCTGAGAAATTCAGGGAGGCTGCTTCTCCCAGCTCCTTCTCACTTCAGCCCAGTCTGGTGTTTCATCTGTCAGCAGGAGACAGCTCCTGGGAGGATTCTGTCAGGAGAACTGGAGCATGAGGACGTTCCAAGGAAGAGAAGCAGAAGGGCTGTGTGCAAACAGCATCCCAGCACTGATCCTTTACTCATCAAATCCAGCTTCTTCTGCTGCTCTGATGTTCTTGGAGTTTCTGGCCTCTGGGATTTGTCAGAGACATTTCATGCCTTCTGGGACACACTGCAAAAATGTCATTTTTTGTCTCCATCAGCCTTGTGAGTGTAGATATTCCTATGGCAGCTAATTCCTCGTGGAGGCATGACTGGGGAGCAGACACTCACAGACTCTGAGAGCAAGCAGCTCTAGGGCTGGTCAGCCAAGGAATGGGTGAAGCATTGAGCCAAGAACATGGGAATCTTTACTGGCTGTTCAGGGAAGTTCAATCATATTCAAAACTCGAACTATTAAACAACAACAAAAACGTTTTAATTTTATCTCGCGCCGGCTCTTTTATTTCTGCAGATTTCTCTCTCACTATTTGTCTTTCACTTTATTGTTCTTCAGTGTTGCCTCATTTATCACTTTCTGTCCTCTCAGAGAGGTTGATAACCTGAAATCTTTATGCTAAAATCACCTTGGGTGGTAAATGCTTTACAATTTCTTTTTAGTCTGCAGGTTGGGAAGAATACAGGGTTGGGGTACTGTTGTCTGTTGCATTGGTTGCTTTCCAGAAAAGCTGGAGCTGAACTGCTTGGGCCATTTCTTACACAAGTGGACAATGAGTGGTGTGGAGTTCAACTGGCCAATATGTTCAGATTGAACTGAGATCAGAAGGAGCTAATTGCCTTTGCCTGGACTTCATTTCAATTCTGGAACATCTGTAAAGCTTTGAAGTAATGTACTTAAAGGAAATGATGGGAATCCAATCTTGCTGGAGTAAAATGCCACTTTACTTTGCAGTGTACAAGTGCAAACCACTGTAAGTTTGTGGGATTTTTTTGTTCCAGACCTGATTGATTCCAAGTTAAATTCAGAGCTGCTGCAGTTCCACAGATGCACTAATGGCAGTGGTGAAGCCACATCTCCCCTCCCTGTTGTGAATTTGGCATCCAGGCCTGAAGTTTGTTGTGTTACCAGCTGCAAAATGCCACTGCTGAGAAATGCTGAACTCATGGTTATCCCAGGCCACACCAAGGGCTGGGGAGCAGCCCTGCTGTTATTTCTGGGCTGTTGGATGCTGACCTTCAGCACACTGACACTTTGCTCCCACAGGGAGGCTGTGCAGGTGTTCCTGGACTCTCTTTGGGCACAGGACCACAGATGAGCATTTCTGGAACAAAAGCAGGGGACTGAAGGGTGGATGGTGCCTGCTCATCTTGATCTGCTCTGGCTTCTTTGGAGCTTGCACTCAGTCAGGCTGAACAGATCCATGGGCAGGTCCCTGCTCCCTTCACAGCCCTTCTTTGGCAGAATCAGCCAATTCCCACTTTTCAGACCCAAAGCATCAATCTCTGAAATTGGATTAAATCATTAACTTAAGGATTTCCTACTTGGTTGTCCTGCCTTCCTCTTGCTGTCATGGATGCTCTTCAAGAAAAATGGTCTTTGATTTCAGGGCTTTTCGTCCTTTTTCAGCTCACAAACCCTAGCTTTTCCTACCTCTCAAAGGCTTCTCAGCTCTAGGAGGATTTCAGGGTTTCCAGCTCTTTTGTGTTATCCATATTCCATAACCCTTGATAGTTTGGTCCTTCAGGGTGCAGAAACCTCCTAAAAATGCTGTGTGTCCTCAGAAAACCAAAATCCAGGCACTGGATTGAAACCCTGTCCTTACTGAAGTTCTCAGTAGATGCATGTCCATGCTGAGATGGCCTGACCCACCCTAGCAGATGTATTTGGATGCCTGGTGGGATTTAAAAAGTTTCTCAGTGGGACACCTAAACTCCTTCATTTTACTCTGGGCAAACAGCTGATTTGCCTTAAACTGGAAAGTCACCATTCCTTGGCTTTAACCTTCAGCCTGTTGCAGTCCCAGTTGTGTGGTGTCCCCATCTCAGCCTTTTGAAGGCAAACCAGGCAATTCTGGGCTGCCATCATCAACATTTAGTCACCTTAAAGCCTGCCTTGGTCTTTTCAGGGCACAGAATGGAATTTGGCAGAGCTGCTGTGTCACCTCAGTGTTTCAGAAGCTCTGTGCAATCAGGGCACTTGAAATACTTTGTGCTTTTCTGGTGCAGTGCACGTGGAAACTCTGAACTCAGTGTGTTCCTCTCATTTCCAAGTTCAAGTGCCAAAAGAGAACAACATGCTGCAACTGAACACCATTGAAACCAGCTTTATTATGCATGGATAAATACAGTCCCAAGGGCTCCATTTTGGTGCTAAGATCTGTCACGCTGTATTTTCCATTGCTTGGGATTGCAAAGCTGATTCCTTACTCCAGGAAATATTTTCTGTAATCTGCAACATCTTGAACATTAGATTTATTTTTTCTTTTTCTTGTGACTGTACACTTTTTAACTTGGATACACTCAACAAATACTCCTTCACCCACAATAATGGGTGTTTAGGAGATGTTTTATACAGTATGTTTGTGTAAAAATTCTCTCAAAATGTGGATGCATGTATATTTTCCCCCTCAATAATATTCTTTATCACATCACCTGACCCAGAACTAAAGGAATCCGTTACTCAGGATTTGATACAGAAATAACTGAGGTTAGTGTTAGGGCCCTCAAGATGTGTGGGTTGTGGGACCAGTTTTGCTCACATAGAAGTCAAAAAGTCTGCACTTAATTAACAGAAAATTTAAATGCCTCCTTCTGCTAGCAGGCAGAAATGCAGCTGCAGCCTGTCAGACTTCACAAGAGAGGCCTTGTGTCCTTAGGTGCTCATGAACTCCCTGTAAAGGAGCAGATGCCTTTAATGGTCTCATTTATTCTTTGGTACAATACTCCAGCAAGAAGTGTAAATGGTGTTAATGGCTGCATATAGAATATGAGCCAGTCATCAAAGATGAGAATTTTATAGCCCAGCAAGGCTTTAAAAATGTCAGCTGTCCTGCAGAATAAGAGTGGTTTTGCAGTGATTTGGTGCCATGCATGGGAATCCTCTTGCAGAAGACAGATGAGCTGCACGAACCTGGGTCAAAGTTACAAATACTCGTGGCCTTTCTCTTTTTTTTAGTCTATGGTGTTAATTTTTGCAGTGAAAAAGGTAAGTCTTGATCCCTGCCAAGGATGTGGGAGAGGAGGGAGAGGGCTTCAAGAGGAGGGAGCCTGGAGTTCTGGACTTGAGATGTCTTTGTGGAGAGACCTCTCAGAACAGCAGCACAGCTGGGCTCTGTGAGCATCATCCCTGAAAGCTTTTCTTTTTCACAGCAGAAATGGTGTTTGAGTCCCAGCAGGGGCCAGGTGAGAGGAGGGAAGGAAGCTGGCAATAGACTCAGAGCTACAATACTGAGAAGTTCTATTTGTTATTTCCCAGTGGAGACAGAGAAATCTGACTCAGATATCTCTAGG